TAATCCTCTATTCTAAACTTTAACCTTCTAGATGATTACTCATCGGGTGCATCAGCTTACGGTGGGACGTCTGGTGGATATGTGGTAAGAAAGAAAGTTTTTTTTTTCGTAATTACTTAAGATTTCAAGAGTTTTTGCTAAGCTTATTGTTCTATTGAAATTTTTAGTCAACTTACGGAGACCGAAGCCGAGCTAGGGACTACTCACCGGAAAGAGATTATCAGTACTCGGGGTTCGTTTGCAAAAATAAGGGATTTCTATTCAGAAATACTTTACTTCAGATTTCTATTCAGAAATTAAGTATACTTTCCCCAATCACAGCTTTCTATTTCAAGCTATTTCAAGCTATTTCTTTCATTTTCTTAGTCTAATAGCTCGAAGAACATGATCAAGAAAGAAAGAAAGAAGGGAAAGAAAGAAAGAAAGGAAAAAAGGAAGGAAAGAAAGAAAGAAAGGAAGGAAAGAAAGAAAGAAAGGAAAGAAAGAGAAATGACTGTTGAAAAGGGAAGCAATAATCCGTCATGTCCACACAATTCTTCTCCCTTCTCCACCACTATCCGATTTGTCTTTTTCTTTTTTTTTAAGTGACTAAAAAGAGGTGTTTGTTTATGTGTAGGTGATTGTCAATTCCCCCGTTTTTTCAATTCCCCCGTTTCCTCACAAACTTTAGCACTTCCTTTCACTCCATTTTTGGATTATCGAGTACTCCATCTTTCCTTTCCTTTTCTTCTTTTACCAATTAGCTATATTTTTGAAATATGGTCTTAAGACGAGCTAGTATGTTTAAGTAAGTTTGAATGGATTACTTTGCATGAGTTAATTTTCAACTTCTTTTTAAATTTGATTAATCTTAGCGAGTTTAGCTGCAGCTGCAGCAGCTCCAGCTGCATCAGCTGCATCAGCTGCAGCAGCTCCAGCTGCATCAGCTGCAGCAGCTCCAGCTGCATCAGCTGCAGCAGCTCCAGCTGCATCAGCTGCATCAGCTGCAGCAGCTCCAGCTGCATCAGCTGCATCAGCTCCAGCTCCAGCTGCATCAGCTCCAGCATACAAATTTTTAAAGAAATAATATCCAATGATAATTATTTATCTAAGCTTAACCGTATTAAGCTCAATCTTAGCTAATATCTATAGAAAGTTTTCGGTTTAGGGCCCGCGGCGGTACTTCGACGCACGCGACTCCGACGAGCTCTCGGAAATTTGAAGAGGTCAGTTCAATGTACCATTAAAGGGTACTTTTGGGTACTGAATCGCTTTATTGAATAGCTTTACTGAATCGCCTTTGGTTTATAATCTAGATGATAATAAGATGAATATACCAATTCTAGGACTCAAACGCAGCTCCGTGGAACATCAACCGTTTCGAGGTGTACAAAACGAGAGCCGAGAGAAATCGTGATCACGCGCCGCCACCGTGAGTTTAAAAATGTAAATTAGCCATAAGCCTAAGCCTAAGCCTAAGCCTAAGCCTGAGCCTAAGCCTGAGCATAAGGCCATAAGCCATAAGGCCATAAGCCATAAGGCCATAAGCCATAAGGCCATAAGCCATAAGGGTAATAACAAAGTGAAAAGAATGAACAAAATTTGCAGAAGTGCGGCAAGTTCGTATTCTCGTGGCTCGCTCTATCCATCGACGGGAATCGACCGAAATTTGAGCACCTATTCAGCTTCTCCGTCATCATATGTACCGCCATCATCCACTACATATCAGTCATCATACAGCGGGTATCGTAAAACCAATTGCAACATTAGAAAAGCCAAGAACTTTGTGTAAAGATAATTATAATTATTATAATTATTCAAATTCAAAGATAAACGAAACTATTATAATCATTTGATAGCTCTGAATCTTTTCTTTGAAAACTAGTATAAAATTATCTTCAAAAGTGCTTAAAGAGTTGATTTTCTATGAAAAATAAATCGTCATTTGTATCACTGGATTGTATTAATGCAAAGAAATGATTTCAGAGCATCATATACACCAAGAAGTCCATACGAGAATGCAACTGCTGGTGGATATTCGACTGGGGCAACAAGGAGAAATTTCGACTATGAGAGATCGTGTAAGTCGTTCAATAAATGGAAAACGGATTGCTAGATTTGTTTGTACCCATGCCTTGCTACAGTCTACAGCTTCAAAAGCACACTATTTTAGTGACACCTGGTGGAAGCGATGGTCTACAACTGTCCACTGCAACGGATACAAGGTTCTGAATAGAATTTGTAACTAATTGTAAATGAAAGATTGGACTGAAAGATTAGACTGAAATATTAGACTGTCTAGAAAGCAGAGATACAATAAAAACCAATGAATTTTAGCAGTGCTGCCTCTCGTCGTGGAGTCCCGCGTCGTGTTCATTCGGCTCTCTCCGAACAGGATCGACGCAACTATGCGAGAAGTCGATCAACTGATAGAGCTCGCGTTGATCTTGATCATTTGACTGGTTAGGCTTCGAGCTGTTCAAATGGAAATTTCAATTCAAATGAGAACTGATTCGATTCGTTAGTCCAGAGCATCACCAGAGCTCACTCCAACATCAATCCCAACCAATTCAGGTCCCCTCTCCGGTGTTCGTTCTCGTTTGGTGACCCCTGAATTGTCAGCTGTCTCTGAACATCCTGGTGGATATACTTCATCGCATACTTACGGATCATCTAATTATGGCAGTTCTTATGGAGATCATGGCTATGGACATGATAGGGAGAGTCTGCCGAGAGATGATAAACCGAGAAGCATTTTGAAGACTAAGGTTGGAGGAAACAACGACAAACAACGAAAGTAACAATGACTTTTTCTAGAATGATCCAGATGGTGGATCATCGGGTAGCGGTGGTGGAGTGAGAGGAGTGATTGAGAGACTTCGACGACATCTCAGTCTTGAGAAAACACAAAGCCCACCGCCTAGTGCTTTTCCGTCTACAGAAGCCGGTAGAGGCTTTATCATTAAAATTCTAGAATCTTTATCATCTAAATTTTAGCGAAAAAGAAGCGTTCATCGATAGATATGAACAGAAGGAAAACGAGTGAGCTCCGATTGGGAGCTGAGGGAACGATCAACACAATTGGGTGAGAGATAGGCTGAGAATGTAATGTAATTCATTTTCATGTAATTCTTGTTGTCATTTCCAACTATTATCATATAAATCTTGAGCTCAATTTCTAGATACTCGGATTCAAGTGGATACAAGAGATCCAGTCCACCAAGGGACACCTCAAAAGGGCTCTCGTGGAGAACCGAACCATCAACAACGTCCACTGATTATCCGTATCTTGGATCAAGCTCGTGAGTTGATCTAGAGCAGGCAACTCGATCCATTTGTCATTTCATCCATTTTGCGATCCATTTGCCGTTGGCAATCGTTGGCAATCGACGTATTTTGCTCGTATCTTAGCCGGATTTGTTTGATAAACGTTCAATTTCCTTTCATTCAACTCGAAATCAAATTCTCTATCGAATGAAAGCAAATTCAACGTTTTTCAAATAAACCCAATCAAGGTACGAACAAAATTCGTAGATTGCCAATGGCAAACCGGTCGAAAAACCGACCGAAAAAGGGGCGGAGTTAAAATGACTGGATTAGAGTTTTAAAAAATGATATCTTTAACTGATGATAAAAATGAGATCTTGGATAAAATCTTTAAATCTAAAAACTTGACTTAAAAATGAATTCAGTCGATACGAGAGCTCATCAGCGGGCGACAAATATGCGACTGGAAGCTACACGAATAGCTCCACAAAGCCGACAACAACGACGACAACAAGGGAAACTGCATATGTGCCACAGTATAGAAAATATCCAGGTAAGAGAAAGACGTTGGATATGTTGATATCTAATAGTAGCGCCCGGGTGCTACTATTAGAAATATGACGCTAGATATCTAGTAGAGTTATTTAAGAGGCTAGCATTTGATAGATCTTCATCAATCAATTCCAGGCTCATCAACGGGTCGTGACTCATCAGCTCTCAATCGTTATTCCTACACTCCTGGCGCTACACAACGATACACATGGTACGATGATCCGAATATTTACTAACAACAAAAAAAAGAATTTTTTCTTTCTTCTTGTTCTCTTATTCTTGTTTTTGCACATTTAGACAGAAAGATTTCTTGGTGAACAGCTATTGCAGGGGAGTAGTCAAAACAGCGCCATAATAGAAAACGTTCAAAACAGCGCCGTCAAATTTCTCACAATCCAAAAAACCAAGCCGGTTCAAGTTTTATATCAAAAAATTCCTTGCGTACTTGGCTACATGATGGGTGAAACAGTTTTTAAAAAAAATTAATATTTCATAAAAAGAGCACTTAAAATGTGTGTCGAGTGATGCTCAGTTGGTTAACTGAATATTTCTCAATGGTTAACTGAATACTCAGTTGGTTAACTGAATATCTTTAGAGATCCATTTTGAGTGCTCTTTTTATCTATGAAATATTCACTTTTTTAAAAACTCTTTCACCCATCATTTGAATGTTTCACCCATCATTTGAATGTTCCACGTGAACAGCAGTTGTTTTGGCTATTGGCTATCGGATTCGATTACTCAAGACGATTTGGATCAAGAAGTTTTCCAATTCAAATGAAATGGGGCGCAATATCGATCATCCCTTTCACTTTTCTTTCGTTAAGAAGATCCGATCGTGCGATCGCTTGTCCTTCTGGAATTCTTTTCCTTCTTGTCACCGATCAATTCAGCGAGAAATATACACTTCTTTGAAAGAATTTGAAATCGGTGAAAAAGCAGCAGTGCGCTGTTTAGAACGTTTTCTATTATGGCGCTGTTTTGACTACCCCCCCCCCTATTGCATTTCTCTAAATGCAAATTTCATTTCAGTACTCTCTTGCTCTGTTTTTTTTTTCAGTTCCCAGTTCTTTGTGCCTTACCCTTTTTTTTTTGCTCTACTTCAAATTCTCTAGTCTATTTTTGTGTTAACAGCTTTTCTTTTGGTTATTATTTCAAAATATTCAATCTTTTTTTCTAATTTCGAGAAAAAGTGCACGTGTATTCTCTTTTAATCTTTTTTTGTGGTACTTTATGCAAATTTCTTTTTACAGCAAATAACAGTACCGAGTCCCAAACACCCTATCAAATTTGACTCTAGTTTTTTTTTCTGATTTTGTGATTTAAATGTTTTCTTTGATTCTATTTACTGTAAAGTTTTAGTTTATTAAAAAATGTCGGAATATAAGTATTCAGTAAACTGAATATTTTATTCTATCATTTGTACGACTAGGACTTTACAATAATATTGAGGCTTTTCTATTGTCGAAACGATTTTTATTACTCGATTAAGTAAAAGATTCATTGGAAATAGCACAAAATATTGATAGATTGAGCAAGGAAAGTTTCATAAAAGGTTTTCTAAAATAATTTATTTTAGGAAATTTTTATTTAAAAGATGATAAATAAGACGAAAATTGTGATTGTTGCGTCAAGGGTTTTAACCCTGAAGACATCATTCGTTGGTTTTGAATTCGACTGGAAAAGATTGCATTTGGGAAATAGATACCGTAAATACTGTAATAGTACCCCACCCCCCTCGTACAGTCGCGTAGCCGTAAGTTTTTTAGTTTTTAGTATTTCATTTTTTCCAAAGCGCCCATACTTTCAAAAAATGCGTCTTTGGTATCAAAAAAAATAGCCCTGAATTTCAGCTTTCATTTGATACTTAAGCACACACTGTAGCATAAAAGACTGGCGAGAAAAATGCGTTTAAAGTTAGACTACGCGACGCTTCGACCGTCATTATAGGGAAGCGTAGTCGCAAATGTTTTTTAGTATTTCATTTTTTTCAAAGCGCCCGTACTTTCAAAAAATGCGTCTTTGGTATCAAAAAATAGGCCTGAAATTCAGGGCTATTTTTTGATACCTAAGCGCGCATTGTAGCATAAACCAGTGTCGAGAAAAACTCGTTCAAAGCTAGACTACGCAACACTCCGCATCGTCATTATGGGGGTGGGGTACTATCACGGTATTTACGGTATATTCTTTTGTACTAATCTTTCTTTAATACTAGTAGTATTGTTTTATACTTAAACGATGCTTTGAATGGCAAAAACTAGGCAAAAACTAGGCAAAAACTAGGCAAAAACTAGGCAAAAACTAGGCAAAAACTATCTCTTTCCAGCTTCTTAAAGCTGACTTCTGCTTTCCCGAATCCAGCTGAATTCAGAGCTTCCGAAACAGAAAAAGGTTATGTTAATTTAAGAAAAGAAATTCATATCTCTATTTCATTCAAACCTTTCGATTTTCTTCTTCATCAACGTATCCACTTGTTGGCACTGTCCAATTCCCATCACCAAGAATTGATGGCGGTGGGGGCATTGATGGACGAGAGATCACTCTCGTCAAACCTTTCTCCAAACCTGACTGAAGTTTTAACTTTAAATTGTTTTATTGTTAACAGAATAAGGAAGATTGCCAACAATATGCAGAATATTTTATTTCTTTTCACACCTGATACGTATTTGTTGTGTTTTGAGTGGCAAGAATGGCGGTTGTTTCATCAAAATTGCAGTAATTCTCGTCACAAACATAGAAAATCACTCGTCGAAATTTGTAGATGCCTGGCTGAATCAACTTTAAAATTTAAAACAGTTTTTCAAAAGACTTTACCAAAATGGGGAATTCAGCGTTGGAGGCATTTTGTGATAGGCAATATTGTGCTGATTTCGTTTGAGTTCCCACCAAAAAATGTGATGTAACTGATTGGCCATCGATCTGAGAGTTGAGGATTTATGAGGCAGCAGTAGATGACTGTTTTTAGGTCATTTTGTACAAGTTTTATGCTAAATGAGAAACTGAGAAACTTTTGGATGCCTGTGGAAAGTGTCCACTGCACGGAGGGTGGATAAGTTGTGTTTGTTTGAAATTTTCGATTCAGTAAAGATAAATTACTGTTTTGATGGAAATACCTAACAATAAGCTTACCGTAAATACTGTAATAGTACCCCACCGCCCTCGTACAGTCGCGTAGTCGCAAAAGTTTTTTAGTTTTTAGTATTTCATTTTTTGCAAAGCACTCGTACTTTCAAAAATTTCGTCTTTGGTATCAAAAAATAGCTGAAATTCAGGGCTATTTTTTGATACCTAAGCGCGCATTGTAGCATAAACCAGTGTCGAGAAAAACTCGTTCAAAACTAGACTACGCAACACTCCACACCGTCATTATGGGGCTGGGGTACTATTACAGTATTTACGGTAAGTTGTGTTTGTTTGAAATTTTCGATTAAATTAAAAGCTATTCAAGCTAAGAGCTATTCAAGCTAAAAGCTATTTTCTTTATCTTTCTAATCTACCTGATGTGTTTCCTTTTGAATGAGATCCGTTTCACCTTTTGCATAGACACAAAATGTTCCCTCACACTCTAGAAATTCTAAATGTTAAATGCGGGAATGATTTTTTCCCTTCAGTACCTCCACCATTTGGTAGAACACATTTTGTGCCATTTCGTGGAATATAAGAAAAGGTGAAATAGTTACAATAGTTCTGAAAGGAAAAAATTTTAAGGAAAATCTGTGAGAACAACGTTTGTGCAACGGCCAAAATAAGAGATTGTGTTGGGATCTTTTTGAAGAGCATAGAAACCACCGTTGTAAGTGAAACTAAAGCTAGGATATCATTTTTATCACAATTATGATCACAATCTTTCACCTCCAAATGAGATCCGGTTGATTTCCGACGGGTAATGGAGTGGCATCGGTGTGATAAGAAAAATGGGGATCGGGAATGGTTCCGGACAATTTGAGAGTTGTCACTTTTTGATCATCGTCTAGCTAAACGTAGATTTTTGCCTAATTCCCATGTCCATGTCCATAAAATGAGCCTAATTCTCTTCCAATCCAATCCGTTTCAATCTTTCATCCAAAAAAAACCAAACCACAATTTCCCCATTGACAATGCAAATTGGATGACTCTTTCTCGCGAGCGCATTCACAAGAGAATGATCGTGGAAATGATCGTTGAAGACCTAATTTTTGAATATAGCAGATTCAATTCAATTTCAATTTCTCAAATTACTCACTTCACTAAAAACACTGCACCAAACCGATGGCATTGTGTGATTTCGATCAATTGATCCTTTGTTGCAATTGTTGGTACTGGAAATGTTAATCTAAGCTCTAAGCTAAGAATCTAAGCTCTAAGCTAAGCTCTAAGCTAAGCTCTAAGCTAAGAATCTTTGCTTGAAGCTGGTAACTCTCTAAGCGCACTTTTTAACAAAGCTTCAATAGTCAAACTATGGTAGCTTTTCTAAGTGCATCTTTCGTCTCTTCTAAGCTTTTAGCAGGTTTTTCTAAGATGCCAAATGTTTTAGAAGTAAATTTTACTTGCAAATGCACAGTGTCCCCTTGCCCGGATAGGTGTGACATCCAACCGGGTAGTTGAACCCCGAAAAACAGTCCTGGAAATTGTTTTATTCGACTTTGCAAGCGAATTTCCTAAACTCTATCCATGATATCTTCATCGCTTTTAAAATAATAGCAAAAGTCACCGCGACAAGAACCGATTCTGGAATGAAATGATTTTCTCGAAAAAAAAAAATCCATTTTACGTGTAATTCTCAACTCGACGCGCCTCGATGAAACCCTGTTGGCGGATGCATTTTATTGAGAAAATTGGGGAAAAGAGTTGAAGGAATATGAGTAACATTCAGATAGAAATTGGGGTTGTAGATTTAAGGGGGAAATTCGTGAAGTCTTTCAATGAATGGACGATGATCGACGTTGATGAGATGGGAAGGGGCGACTTTTTTCTCGTGAATTGGTGAGGCGCCGAAATTTGACGTTCGCGCTGCCATTTCTCCCATTTTGATTCTCGAAAATGCATATCTGAGAGAGATTGGAGAAATCTCGAAAATTTGGAAAAAAAAATGGTGAACTGTGAACGGCTAGACTTTTGGTTGACTGGGCACATTTCGGATTTCTAAAAAACGCTTCAATCGAGAAAATTTGTTCGATTTAAATGTGGGATACACTTTGAAAAAAATCTTCGAATTTGGCTACTGTATTTTTCTGCGTCTATAAAAAATGAATAAAAGCTACCATACCCAAAGTACGGTTAGTCATGCTCTAGCACAACAGCAACACAACAGCTACCGTGCTTTAGCACAACAGCAACACAACAGCTACCATGCTCTAGCACAACAGCAACACAACAGCTACCATGCTCTAGCACAACAGCAACACAACAGCTACCATGCTCTAGCACAACAGCAACACAACAGCTACCATGCTCTAGCACAACAGCAACACAACAATTACCATGTTCTAGCACAACAGCAAACTGTAACTTTTTAGTAAAAGCATTTTTGAGAAAAGTTGAAAGAAATCCAGTCTGAAATCTTGTTTTTCTTAAAGCTACAATGAGTCATTTTTTTTTGCTGCAGTTGAGTATGAAAAGGTTTTCGTGTCCTCTCTAGAAAAACTTTTAGAAGAGTTGAATGGAGTCTGATAAAGGTGAAGAAACGATTCACTTCGTGTTTTCAAGAATCGCCGGTAAACAAGCAAATGAAAAAGAAAGGGCAAAGGGAAAGAGTGATGGGTAAAAGCCGAAAAAAGAGATGTGTGGATGGGAAAAGGGAGCGCGGGAAAAACCCTCACTTGAATAAAAAAGAGGAGGGCCAAGCAGGCTTGTCCCTTTCTCTACGTTCTTGATGTGAAAAGAACAAACAATTCCTTTCATACCCATTTTTAGGCCTATTTTTGTCTTGTCTTTTCGCATTTTCTCTATTTTTCAATGTTCTCCCGGCTCTCATATCAGGGGAGCAATCGCAAAATAAACATTCTCGATTTGCGTTTGATTTTGCCCGATTTTATGAAATGGATTATCGATTTTGATGCTCGAGATCTTGGTCGAGATCGATTTTGACGCTCGAGATCTTGTTATTGCATGAATTGGATTACTTTTAGTTTCATTGAGAGCAATGGCATTACTTTTGAGTAGATTGATCGTTTTAGATGCGCAATGGATCGAAATGACTCATCGATTCAAAAAAGTTTTCTTGGACTTTCACTAGAAAACGATGTCATAAAGCCACTTTTTCCACTTTTCAGCGTTCCGCTTTACCGAGTTTAAGCGCCCAAAAATATTTGTTTCATAAAAACCAGAAATATGGTGCTATATTTATGTAAATTTTGATCCATTCTCGAAATGTGGAATATTGGATCTGTTAGCTGTTGAACTTTGAATCTGTAGAACTAAAATTTGAAGAAGTCCCTTGGAGTTTTTAGCTTTATAATTGCTTACGCTAGTCAATATGTTTTGGTGTGGGGCAAGAGGTCATCAGAGAGATCTTTGATCGAATAGATTCCCCGAGAGAGAGAGAGAGAGAGCTAACCACATATTTGCTCTCGATGTGGCGACTCTATGAAGAAATCTATCAATAGCTTCTCTTTTTTTCATTCTTCTTGTGCTTGTTGTTGTGTCTAGGAGAAATTCTTATTCCTTTTCTTCTTTTTCCATTCTAGGGTCCTTTCTGCTCTTCTCAGTTTAATCTTTATGCCGACTCTTTCCCTCTCTTGGCATTCTCTTTCACAGCTGCATTTGGCCGTCTCAAATGTCTGCCCTTGCTCCATATCTCAAATGTCTCTCAATCGGCAAAAAATGGCGCCTGATTTGGTGAATTTTTGATGATTTCCTTTAATGAGATGGTTTTAATTGTCGACAAATCTGAGTTTTTACATGAACTTTGAAATCTTTTGGGGACTTGTGCTTTTGACTTTAGCTAAAAATTAGCAATATTAGCAAAATTAGCACTTAAATTTTAATGCAAAGATTTATCAAATTACAATAATTTTCACATTTTCTCCTCACAATTTTTAAATCTTCCTCACCTAAACTAAATCCAATGTACATTTATGCGTTCATTGTTTTTTTTTCAAAAATTCGGCTCTTGTCTGCTTTCCGAGTATTTCGAATGAGTCGTCACGCTTTGAAAGCCTATAACTCTATCCAAAGACAACATTATTGCTAACTTTTTAGAGCATTATATAGAGGACATTTCAGGGCTTCAAAGCGTGACAACTCATTCAAAATACCCAGAAACCCGCCAAGAGCCAAAAATTCTCTCCTACCTACGTAGAAAACCGGTGGTTTAAAGGGATTAGGGTTAATAATGAGTGGGTAATCCAAAAGAAAATTTGCAAAAAGACTAATTTCCCGCTCCCTCACTAAAATTTTTAGCCTTTTCATTTTTGAATCACATTATTTCCCGTTTTCTTGCTTCGATATTGAAATCTCGCAAAAAAAAAACCACTTGTCCCAAAAAGAGCATCGATTCGCGGGTCCCTTTGAAGTGTTTGGGAAAAAGTTTTTCCTTTTTTGCGTTTCTATTGAGACTTGTTTTTTTGGATATTTTGAGTATCTAATTATTTCCTTTTCAGCTTCTCCGTCTCCGTGTGTGCCAAATATTGCTATAGCTTGTGTGTGCTTCTTTCGAAAGAATAGATGACCGTATCCTACAATTTAGACGTTGTCGAGACATCGTTTATTGGGTAAGTTATTGGGGTTTTTATGTGATTGAAGGTACACATTTTGTAAAAGAAAAGAAAAGGATTTTGTTCCGTAAAACTGTACTGGATTTTTTTATTGATATGCTAAATTGTTATGGAAAATGAGCGTAAAAGCTAAGTTGCTGCATTAACTTACGAACATGTACGTTAAAATTTATACAACTAGCTATTATAACTCATAATTATGGATATTTTAGATTCCTCAAACTTCAGCTGAGATGGCGAGGCAGCATCTGGAAATCGGTGATGCGCGAATTGATCCTCTTCTCGGCTGCTTTCGCTTTTATCACCCTTGTTTACCGATCGAATTATGTGATTACACCAGAGACACGAATGTAAGTTTGAGATTAGATTTTTTTGTGTAAAGATTCTTTTTAGGATATGGGATAACTTTGCTGCCTTATTCGATATGAAGCTTGACTACATTCCGCTCACTTTCATGCTCGGATTTTTTGTGACAATTATTGTTGGCCGATGGAACGAAATATTTAACAACATTGGATGGATTGACAAGTATGTGCTTTTCTATAAAACAACTATCTGACTAAAATTTAGTGCGGCACTCGTGATGTCAACTTATCTTCGTGGTAGCGATCAACCATCTCGGATGTTAAGAAGAAACGTTGTCAAGTACATGGTTCTTACACAGGTTATTTAGATAATAAAGGTTTTTATGTGCGTTATTTTCTAGGTTCTCGTCTTTCGTGATATCAGCATGCAAGTGCGAAAACGATTCCCAACACTTGAAACAGTCGTTGCCGCCGGTTTGTTTTTTGAGGCTTGAATGCTATTTATCATGCCTGAGAATTTTGAAAATGTATTTTATTTAGGATTGATGACCGAGGCGGAAAAGCAAAAATACGACGAAGTCAACTTCAGATACAACAAGCATTTTATGCCGATACAATGGGCTTACGCAATTCTTTTTGAGGCTCGACAAGGAGGGAAACTTTCTGCCGATATTATGCTCAACGAGATTATAAAAGTAAGTATTTGGAAAGGAACTATTTTAGTTAAAAATTTTAGCATATTACTGAGTTTCGAACGGGTCTAGCTCGCCTTTTAAACTTCGATTGGGTGCCAATTCCACTTGTTTATCCTCAGGTATATTTGCAAATGAAACTACCAAGCTTTTTTCTATTTTCAGGTCGTCTTCCTTGCTGTTCGCTCGTATTTTGTGCTTTGCTTGATCGCCCGACAAAGTGTGCTGATCGATGGAGAAGTGCCGAAGGATGGAAATCAAGTTGGCAGTGGTTTTTTTTTTACGAAAGTTAAGAGCAGATCTAGTTTTATCCGCTTGTTCCATTCTTCATGACCGCATTGCAGTTTGTCTTCTTTGTCGGATGGATGAAGGTAAGTTCGGTTGTTAAAAGAGTAATTTTTTGAAAAGTTATAGGTTGCCGAATCGCTAATGAACCCTCTGGGTGAAGATGATGACGACTTTGAGTGTAACTTTTTGATCGATCGTAACTTAGCTGTAAGTTTTTAGAGAGTTTTGCAAGTGAGCTAACTTATATAAGAAAACATTTTATTTTATATTCCGAATCTAGATGGGAATGGTGATCGTTGATGAGACTTACAACAGCCCTCCACCGCAAGAAAAGGATGCTTTCTGGCTTGCGAATGTATTGTTTTATATTAATTTCTTCTATATTTTAAAGTTAAGGTTGATCCTCTTTATTCTGAAGAGACTGCAAACAAGCCAAAGAACCCGTTAATTGGATCCGTTGCACAAGTCGAGTAAGTTCTTTGTTTTTCTGAAGCAAACACTCTGCTAACATGTCTTTCTAGTCGTAAAACAAGTTCTGGCTCTGTTTTTGGCTTTTTCTTTGATGATGAGTAAGTGAAAGATTGAAATGATTAAACGATTCGCAGATTTTTATGTGATAAATTTCAAATGTGTGAATTTTCAGGCCAAAGACGGATGAAGTGGTTATGATGCCACATTTGGATTCGGAAGATCATCAGGCAGCTGACAACTCATTTGATTACGGAGATGGGCAGAAATTGTTACCGCGTGGAATATCGGTTTGTTTCGCTGTATTTATGTCAACTTTTTCTTGACAAGTTTAGGTAGTTTCGGTGAACAGAGTTTCCGACTCAAAAACATCTCTCAACACTCGACAGAAAGGTTTCCTAGAAACTGTGAGGAATCGATTCACTCGGTAAGTTAACAAGTTATGGATGTTTTAATATTTAATTCAGCGACTCAAGCCGTCTTAGTCGACCGAATCGACTTGTGATGTCACGAACGTCTTTGAACACCCCAGATGGGCTTCATCCACCAAATAACTACCCGGTTAGTGTAGTAAACTTTTTTAAAACTTTTAATATTAGGGCTCAACATGTACAAGTGCGATTGATATCGTTGATGAGCTGGCGGCAATAAGTGAAAGGAGAAACACTGACAATCTCAGTCCCGAAGGTCTGTGCTATTTATCGGAGCCCACGAATTTTTGTAGATTCAGATTTTTCCCCAAAATCACCGACCCGAAGATCGCCGATCGGTGACACCGACACAATGATGCCATCAGTTCCCGAAGAAGACGAAGAACATCAAAGGACCAGAACATCAGTGAGTAAACCTTATGTTTACTCAATTCTATAATTTTTATAGTACCAATTCCGTTAGCTTAAGCGTAATTCCTTTATAGCTAAACATTTTTTTAATTTCTATTTTTAAAGGTCAATTTTTAGGTGGATTTGGCAAAATGGAAACGAATGCAAGACGAAATGCTAAAGGATCAAAACGATAAAGACAAGTAAAGAACACGGTGGATTGGAAACTTCTCGAAGAGATCTCAATGTGCGCATTTATGTATTGATTAGTTTGTAAAGTCTTAGATTTTATTTCACATTAACAGTTTGTTTGATCTCGATTTACATTTTGGCGTTAATATTTTGATTATGAGCTTTAATTTACTTCATTCATTTAATGTGATCTTAGGTTTTGAATTCTGCTTTTTTGGTTTGTTTGATCGGTAACACGTTGTACTTCGATTGCTCCATATTTACCTACCTATTTTTAAGTCTTCCGCATATTTTGTGTATGACGTTTATTTAAATAAACGTTATTTATAGATTAAATAATTTATTAAGCGATTAAAATGCAATGTCTGAAGAACCAAAGCAGAGACTCGTTTCAATGATAATATGCAATTCGTTGAATAGAAAGTGTCGTTGAGTAGTTAAAGAAGGCTGGCAAGATTGAATGAGCGATGATTCGATGTTCTGGATTAAGCGATTTCTCTGAAATTCTTTGATTGGCAACTCATAAAATAACTATAGCTACCGAATTCCAACATCACCATTCGAGAAAACGCGGAGAAGAAAATCGGCGGCGATATGCGGTTCGAAAGTACATGGGATCACAATATATTGACCGGGAGGAACACGGAAACGAGCCGTCACCTGAAAATTGGTCATTTAAAACATTGGTAAGTGCATATGGTTGAAAAATTGGATTAGTACATATTCCCTTTTATCCCCCTCACCTCTCTCATATTCACAAATACGGGCACTTTTGCCACTGAACGATTCGTTCGGAAAAAGCGCTCATCAAGCTTTCCCATCAGATTCGGAGGCGCCTGAAATCGATGGGAGTTTAAGAATACATTATCAATTAATAGAGTTAACTATTACTGAGTTGTTAAACGAAAAGTTTTTGACTACAGTATCCATTTTGATGAATCAGTTTCTTTCTCTTACCCTGTAAACGGAAAACCCGATCGGAATATTGTCTTTTCCTTGGCTCCGAAGCTCGCGACGATATTTCTGAAGCACCGCCACGATTACCTGAAAAAGGGAACTGTTGCAAATCGAAGTGAGTAGTATTGAGCGCCGTTTTTTAACCTTTAAATATAGTAACCCTTTACAAACTGACCGTGCAATTCCCGTCTCCTTCCACATTGTTGCGGGCGTTCACGAGTGTCACGAGATATTGGGGATTTCTCGGAAACGTAGCTAAACGTGTTGCTAATATTTGTAAGTCATTTCTAACTCACAGATATAATTAATGCATCCTCCAGCCGTGTTGTGCTCAAGACTCCATCCACCATCGATTTGTTGCTCTTGCCATCTGAAATTTGAGATGCAGAATGAATGAAACTTTCCATTTAGAACTCTTGCCTTGTCTCACCATTTCCCTTTATCACTTACACTCCAACTTCTTGAATATCCTGATGACGAACACCGGTCATTTGCTCGATCTCGCTCATCACCTAGAAAAAAAAGTTATAGCTGATAGCAAGAAACACAAAACATTTCAAAAATAAAAGACCAACCGCCGCCGAAAGATTGCACACTTCTAAAGTTTCAAAAGAGATGTAGAAGTCGTTGAATGACATCCTGAAATTGAAGATAGAGAATGAGAAGATAGAGAAGAACACATTGGATTGGCTAGACGAGAACACATTGGAACACATTTCAAATAGAAATTGAAGAACACAGAACAAGAAGAACACATTGGATTTTTCAAAAGTCATGGTCTCGGCTAACCAGATACCCACCAAAATTCTCCATCATCGTTGAAACGAACGTCCAATTTTGTCCTATCCGCGCCACTCACCGTTCTCCATTCACTACTCCCATCCGACCATGGTCCGTACCATTCCTGGGGATTTTTATGTAAATGAATCTCAACTGAATCTGGTCAAAGGATAATATCAAATCAATATCTATATCAATAGATATTATGAGAAAAAGAACTAAAATAGTCTAGCCGATGGAAAAACTTGCAATAGATCTGTACATTCAACTACTGAACTTATTATGGAACCCTTGACCTCTCGACTAAGATACAGGCCTATTAGCCTATCGGCTATGGCTGCCATATGACTGTAATCGAAATAATAATTTCAAAAGTTGAATGTACAGATCTATTGCAAGTTTCTCCAAATAAAAAAAGGCACAAACCTTATTGTTTCCCCAGGGATTTCGAATTCTCAACAGCAACACATCGCCACGCGTTGTGCTCACCTGAAAAAGATGAATACTCGGTAATTCTAGTGTTTATGCTGAACACTTTACTTGTTGAACAGCTGTGATACTATAGGCATGACCTCGAATGAGACCATTTGGAAGTTGAGCCTCGAAATTGTATGGATCAGCCTGGAATGATCGATTTTTAGATGATCGACTTTGATTTTGAGCGATTACCTCCAACGAGCAACAAAACATGGATCCCATTTGAAATCCTCTAACCAACAATGCCAACAGGGTCGCTTTGTCTATCTTCTGCAATTCTAGATGTTCCGTCAGTCCGCCTAAGTTGGGAAATGATTTCAAAAATTGCAAAAAGAATTGCATAATTGCAAAGTACAAAGTTGATTTCTTTTTCTTGTCCATTACCTGTGAAATCTTCTAGCGCATCCATTGGAAGTCCTCCATCGAGACACTCATAGCCTGTGTAGAGCCTAGAAATTGAGGATTTTTGAGGATTGAGGACTTTACATAGTCTTTGTCTTTGTCTTTGTCTTTGTCTTTGTCTTTGTCTTTGTCTTTGTCTACTTATCGTCTTTGTCTACTTATCTACCTTTAACAAATGGCTTCAATATTCAAAAAAAACCCCACTTAGCGTATGCTTTCTCAAGTAAAGCACTCCAGAATTCATTCACCGTCCCCGAGTGCATATAGATGAGTTTCCCGTTCACTGTTGGTAGGCTAAATCTCAATTGGTGATTTGTCTTGATCAATGGATTATCGATTCTCTCACCGATCATCAATCACCACATCCACCCAGCGACCATATCTCCAAAATTGGAAATGAAAAATCCCGGCATAGTTCTCAACAAAACTTTGATCCGGCGGCACGACTCGGTAGAATAGCTCGTCACTGAAATATTAAATGAAAATTTGAGGAAGTACTTTGTGATCAACTTTGTAATCAACTTTGTGATCAATGTGATCAACTCTGTGATCAACCTTGTGATCAATGTGATCAACTCTGTGATCAACTTTATGATCAACTTTGTGATCAACTTTTCTGTAAGCTCACCGTAGTGTTAAATTTGCAATAGCAGCAAGAAGCCAACAATCGCCGAGTGCTCCTTGGACAACGTCGAAGCGAGTGTGACCCTCAACGATTAGGCAAGGGTCGCGCACAATTTCCTGAAGATAATTTCTGGAGATTCTTGATTCATTTGTATTCAAATCTTGAGTGAAAAGCTTCAATCTGTCCTTATCTTCTGCCAAAACTAAGGTGTAACTTTGTGGGGTTTGAATTTAAACTTGATTTAGATTGATTGATTTGATTGATTGATTGAAATTGATTGATTGATTTGATTTAAACTTAAACTCTTCATCTTCTTAATCTTCTTCTTAATCGTCTTCTTCTTCTTCTTAATCTTCTTCTAAGAATATGGTAACTCTTAAACTATTATTGAATAAACAAAGCTCTAATTTATATTTATAAAAAAGTTTTACCCCTGGTCTTCTCCATTCGACTCTTCCCGTTGGAGCTCTTCTGTAATAAAGACTTTTCGACGTTGCTGGGAATTCAGGATCCTCAAAAAGACGCTTCGTTTTCAAACATTTATCTCGTTCTCTAGAAAATGTTTATTTATAAATTCAAATCTAAAATCATTGTATAAAACCTGTAAAAATCCAATCCCAACGACTCGATGCCGGCCGTTCGTCGGATTTCACTCTGATGCACCAATGGAGAAACCTCAAAGATGTCAAAGTCAGATATCAGATATCAGATAATATTTGATAATAATATAAGAATATAATAGAGTATAATATGAACAATATATTTAAACATCTATAACTAGTTCTCCTATAATATCTATAACTAGTTCTCCTGTAATATCTATAACTCGTTCTCCTATAATATCTATAACTAGTTCTCCTGTAATATCTATAACTAGTTCTCCTATAATATCTATAACTAGTTAAAAATTCTCCTTCTCTCACCAACCCTCCTCACTCTGATGCGAATTTTCAGCGGTCGATTATAGCAAAGATCGATTTTCTTTGATTTCATCCGCATTTTTAAAAAATATTTTCAAAATCAAAGAGCTAGAGTCAAAAATTTTACGTTCTCTTTTTGCGAAACTCATTTCGCTTCCTGAATTTGGTGATAAGAGAGGGAAACGTTGACTGTTGACATTGGATTAGTCACTCGTTTAAACCCTATTTCTAGTCAGTCATTACATAAACTATTATCTACTAACAATCGTAAGAAACCTACATTTTTATGGAAATGTCCAGTGAGAATATTGTCGAGAACGATTTTCCCGACGCCTCCAATATTATTGTTCTTTCCGCCTTTGTTGAAAATCACATTTCCCGCCAAGGCGCCAATGATTTGACCCGTGTTTTTATCGATTTTGAAAAATCTGAAATAAGATTTTAAACTGCTAGTGTCCTAGTTGATAGGTGTACAATAGACAACCCGAACCTAATTCCACCGTCGTTTTCTTGGTCGTTTTCTTGGTCGTTTCTTGGCCGATTCTTGACCAATTCCTCTGAAATTTTGTCTACAGATAGACTTCAACTTGTAGACAAAATTTCAGAGGAGTTGGTCAAGAAACGGCCAAGAAATGGCCAAGAAACGGTCAAGAAACGGTCAAGAGCTTGTAGACAAAATTTCAGAGGAATTGGTCAAGAATCGGCCAAGAAACGGCCAAGAAACGGCCAAGAATCGGTCAAGAGCTTGTAGACAAAATTTCAGAGGAACTGGTCAAGAAACGGCCAAGAAATGACCAAGAAACGGCCAAGAAACGGCCAAGAATCGGCCAAGAAACGGTCAAGAGATTGTAGACAAAATTTCAGAAATCGGCTAAGAAACGTTTGAGAAAATGAAGATGGAATTAGATTCGACTTGCAATTTTCCTGTCTAGTGTACAAGTATTACAATCTCCTGTTGACTGATTGACCTGTGTGCTCCTCGGCTAATCGCTCCCTCGGTGAATTGACGAATCTTGTCATGAGTCCAACTTGGCTTTAAACCTAAAATGTAAACTTTAGACAAAACCTCGTTATCTCATAGTCATTTAGATCCATGCTTGACACAATTGTGTCACTTTAAAGATTATTGTCCATGAATGAACTGTATTCAGAAGTAGAGTAGAATAACTAAAGCTAAATTCAAGATTTAATAAGCGCGACGCTTCATTCAAAGCGCTTTACGGGTAAGCGCTTTACGATTTTGAAGCTATAAATCTTTATAGCTTCAAAATCGTAAAGCCGTAAAGCTATAAATCTTTTTCATTTAACTTCTTCAAACTCACAATGATTTTCTCCACCAATTCTCGACAAATGCTTAAGAATTCCCGAGAAATCGCCGCGTTCAAATCCATCAAGAGCATCTGGAAGAGAATCTCGAGAATATTTGTATCAAAATTTCTCAAAACTTATTAGCGTTGCAGATGGTGGGCGTTTACTGTGATGTTTCTGATATACTTTAGTGGATTTATCATTCTTTACGGAATTTCGAAAGACATTCGAAATTAAGTGTTGACTTTTGGATCGACGAAAGGGAAAAGAATTAGGGGAAAGATTAGCTGATGTTTTTGATTGGATAAAATTAGCTGATGTTTTTGATTGGATAAGATTGAGTGCCTCGTTTGAAAGATGTTTTTGTTGAATGAGAAGACGAGAACAGTGAATGGAAAGGGGATTTTTGAGGGGAAATTGCTGATGATGGAATGGTGGAAGATTGGACATTGGAATCGAGAATTCAATACGTTTTTTGATTTTATAGGAATTACAGGAATTCGGGTGAGTCGAATAGCCTTTAGAAATTATAAAAACAAAATAAAAAAGTCTAGTTTTCGACTAGCTCCATAGAGAACGTGGAAAACAAACCGAAAGCCGAAAGCCGAAATTTCCATAGAGACCCGGAAAAGAAAAGGAAAACATCAAGAACAAAAAGCATAAAGTCCAAAAAATATTTCTTTCATTACCTCTAATAATCGAAAATCGAAATCCTTTCTTTTTCTTTTTCTTTTGCGAATTTGAGTCAAAATTCCCGATTTGTTGATTTGAATCTGTCTGGGAATTGTCCTAAAGTTTAAGTTTTTAAATAAAAGATTAACGGAATACGTTCCTTGAGAAAAGGAATCTTTATCACTTACAATAAATGGGATATTAGCTCCAGGACGGGGTGATTGAGGAGAGATTGCAGGCAGATGATGAGAGCCGGCGTAAGGACTCTGAAGATACGTAAAGAATACGTTTGTCATCTTTTAGAGGTAACAAACTGGATATGGATTGTAGGATTGATAGGATTGTTGGGGTAATGGTGGACGAGGTGGTGCTGGGGGTTGGGTTGGGTTTGGTGGATGAGGAGAAGAAAGATTCCAACCGGGTGGCGGTGGACGAGTGGGGATACTGAAATTTTGCACTGAATACCATATTTTTTGCTAAAATGCCCAGCGGAGCGTCGCGTAGTCGCTGCTTTTTCCGCATTAAATCATTTCTTTCCTGTGAACCTTTTGGACGGACGGGTTTTTTTTCAAAAAATAGAGAAATAGGCAGCCAATTTTTCAGAAGAAACTCAAACAAAAGTGGTCCAAAGGTTTGCAAGGAAAAAACGACTACGCGACGCTCCTTTGGGCATTTCATACTATTAGAAAAAATACGGTATAATCTTTACCTTGCTCCTCCTCTTTGTGATCGATAATTGATCTCATCAATATCATCATTCAATTGCTGTCTCCCAAATTTCTCCTCAATCCTCCTCACGTCAATTTCGGTGAAATTTTGTGGATCTAGAATACCGTATTTCTTCGAATAGAAGACCGGGTAAAGAGTATCATCGCGTACTCCTGCGTAGCAGCCCTTTTTAAAATTTCTTTTCTGCATAAAAGCTTTCAATCAAGTGCTATAGGGCTGGAAAATGGCTCAAAAATCTGTTAGCTCATGTCGTATTTTTGAGCCATTTTCCAGCCCTATAGCACTCGATTGAAAGCTTTTATGCAGAAAAGAAATTTTAAAAAGGGCTGCTACGCAGGAGTACGCGATGATACTCTTTACCCGGTCTTCTATTCGAAGAAATACGGTAATTCCCCTTTTTATTCATTTTTAATAAACAAACCATCATCATTTTCATCTTGTTCATCAACTTGACTGTAGAGATAAACTTTTTCGATCACATCAACCATTATACTAAGAATAAGAATGAGAATTAGAATTAGAATTAGAATGAGAATGAGAATTAGAATAAGAATAAGAATAAGAGCTTATCTTTGAGCAAAGCAAGGTAAAATAATGATTGAGAAAAGGAAATTCTTGAGAAAGTATTTACTTTCAGAATTTGGTGCTTTTGAAGTACAAACTTCTTAAAGTACACTGAATTTAATTAGTTGTAAGCCTATAAGAAACTCGTTTTAATTGTTGTGAGCCTATAAGAAACCCGTTTTAATTGTTGTAAGCCTATAAGAAACCCGTTTTAATTGTTGTAAGCCTAAAGCTTCAGTATTAAAGTATTCTTGAATGAGAAGTATTCAACAGAAACAACTCAACATCTTTCACAATTTCTATCTACTTGAAATTAAAGCTGTTGAATCGTCGAAAAGTCGAATGAATCTTTTTAATTTAGCATTTTTGAATGATTTTTGAATTAAGAATAGACTTTATTATTTCGATCAGATTATTTAAAAAAGCTATCAAAAAAGGTAAAGTGAATAACATGTTTCAAGGTCAAAACAAAACAAAAAAAGATATTCAAGTCGTTTTCAAGGTTTATATAGTGAAGATCAAGAAAAAGAGTAATCAAGAAAAAGATTGATAGAGGTGGATGAGTAAATGTGGAGAGAAACAAAAGAAAGAGAAATAGGACAAGAAAAGGCCATATGAGTCATTGAGAGCTTTCTTCTCTCTTTTTGTTTCCCTCGGATCTCGCAAAGAAATAACGGGTCTTTCTCAATTTAAAAACCTTTTTGCACCTTTTGCAAGAGATTAACTGAATACTTTTTTCTCTTGTTTCCTTGAGTCCCTTGGGGCAAAATGACGAATCTTTTGCCGAAGTGACTAGTTGAGAAATTTGGTAATATTATTGAAAATGGGAATGATTTTGAAATAAAAATTGAAATCAAAAACAAGATCAAAATAAAATATTAGGTTGTCCAATAAGTAATGCGTGTTTTGACACGATTTTCAAAATATCACAAAATTAACAAAAGAGAACTTTATTAATCGATATATTCTCCACAACAATCAACAACATTTCTCCATCGTCCGAGCAAAGAGTGAAGTCCGTCATAATAGAATGAAGCTGGTTTCGATGAGAAGAAATCGTCGAGCCATTTTTGCACCTCGTCAACACTTTGTGACTCGTTTCCGTCCGCAAATCGTTTAAACTAGCACTGGCTGATTGAAATTGAATCCTCTCCAAATGCGGCACAGATACTTCGATGGCAATCCGCTGCAGTTTTACCTAGTTTGAAATCATACAGCATTGATGCGCGGACAACAAACTTTTTGTCTTTCATCTGCAAAACAACATATCTATTATAAAACAATTATAAAACAAAGGCAAATGAATAAAATAATATATAAAAATAAACACAAGATGCTGATGATTAAAAAGAGCATATATTTGCTCGAAGCGATTTCGCAATAGTTTCGAAATAAGTAACACGCATTACTTATTGGACAACCTAATATCTCAATTCAAACTATTCTAAACGAGATTCTTGATGAATTTTTTTAAAATATTACAAAAAATCCCTCAAATATTTGCGCAAGCAAAAAAAAATGGAAAAATGTGCAAAAAGTTGTGTACATTTGAATCAAAACAAAGTGAAAAAAATATAAAAAGATATAAAAAGATATAAAAAGATATTTTTCTTGTTCTTACACTTTTTTTAAGATGAGAGAAGATGGAAACTTGTGAAAAGGACGGGGAATTAATGTGTGGATCCCCGTTTTTCCCTTCCCAACCTTATTCCTTTTTTTCAACGACATCAAAAGAAAAAAAAAGGAGAAAAGAATCGATTTCGGGAAAAAAATGGCCGCTTTTCAGCCTGGAGACATTTCTGATGAAATAAATCGTCATGAACACCCAAAAATTAACGCCAAAGTGCTCAAAAACTTTGTCAAAAAAAAAATCCAACAGTAAGCTTCACCAAAAAAATTTAGTTTTCATGGCCCTTTCAAAAAATTTATTCATTTTTTCGTTAAATTTTGTGTGTAAAGCTCGAAAAAATTGTATTTTATTAGATAGAATTGTATCAGATAGAATTGTATCAGATAGAATTGTATCAGATAGAATTGTATCAGATAGAATTGTATCAGATAGAATTGTATCAGATAGAATTGTATCAGATAGAATTGTATCAGATAGAATTGTATCAGATAGAATTGTATCAGATAGAATTGTATCAGATAGAATTGTATCAGATAGAATTTTGCTGTTTTCCCGGAATCTCAAAATACAAAATCCATTTTCAAATCTTTTTACAGTTTCTCTCGTTTCAGATTTCATGTTTTTTAAGTGATTTTTGCAATAATTTGAATAGTTATCACTGCTTTTTGCAGAGAAACAGGAATACAACGATGAGACATTCTCTATACCCTTTCTGACGCACTGAATTCTTATTTTCACGAGGAAAATGAAGTATTCAGTGCACTAGAACTGATGTGTTTACAAATTCAAGTAAAAAGTACATTAAACAGTCAATTGAACAAGAGAGAAGTTGAGTAATTGAATCGTTTTTTTTTCTCATTTCTCAATTTTCAGCTTTATCTCTTTAAAAAAGAAGTTTTCTACCTAATTTTACAAAATTTTCAAAACATTTCTTTTCCAAAGTCAGACTTTGGCTTTAGATAAGAATTAAATAAGGTTTAAATAAGGTTTAAATAAGCTTTTGAATAAGCTTTTGTATAAGCTTTTAAATAAGCTTTTAAATAAACTTTTTATAGAGAATAGAGTAAAAAAAACAGGGAAATGAGTAAAGTTTCGGAGTGATGAATAGTCGGGAGAATGCTTTGAAATTGATTCAAATTGTGTTGAGAAAGGAAAAAGATTTTGGAGAATGGAGAATGGTTTGTGGAGGGAACGGGGGAAAGGAAAAGGTTGCAGGTTTTAGGGGATATTGGAGAGAAAGAATCAAATGGGAAAGGATGAGAAAAATAGAGAGAAAAGTATCAGTAAACATTTCCCCTTTCTCACCTCTTTTCTCATTTTTCTCTAAATCCTCGAAATTTTGCACCTAGTTTAGGAGAATGAGAGCTAATCAGCTTTGAAAAAAAAAATCGTTGATTGAAAAGAAACTTTCAATGACTAAGCATTTACGAGAATTTAGTCAAAAGTTGGTCAAAAAGTACTTTTGGTCAAAAACTTATACATACCGTAAATACTGTAATAGTACCCCAGCCCCATAATGACGGTGCGGAGTGTTGCGTAGTCTAGCTTTGAACGAGTTTTTCTCGACACTGGTTTATGCTACTATGCGCGCTTAGATATCAAAAAATAGCTGAAATTCAGGGCTATTTTTTGATATTTAAACGAGCATTGTAGCTTAAACGAGTGTCGAGAAAAATGCGTTCAAAGCTAGACTACGCAACACTCCGCATCGTCATTATCTTTGGTATCAAAAAATAGCCCTGAATTTCAGCTATTTTTTGATACCAAAGACGCATTTTTTGAAAGTACGGGCGCTTTAAAAAAAATGAAATACTAAAAAACATTTGCGACTACGCGACTGTACGGTGGGGTCCAATTACAGTATTTACGGTAGCAAAAGTTGCCAAAATTTTGAAACAGCAGAAAGTGCGGAAGCCCGGTTTCTTTTTTTGGAAAAGTGTTCTTGACTTTATCAAGTTTCACGCGACAGCTCCCACTTCTGTTTTGTTTAAAAGTTTAGAGATCAATCAGAAAAATAGCGATATTTCATTTCCCAATAGATGTCATCAATTAAATGCTGGCATTTTACTGTAATCTTTCCAATATTGTGGCTTCTTTTTTCAAATCATTTTATCTACAAACAAACTTGAGCACAAACACAAAAAATCTAGAATATTTCAGCCTAAACAATAACCACAACTTCTTGCGCAATACATGTACATTTGATATGCATATTTTTGACAGTATCCAGCGACGGCTCGTAAAGGACAAGCTGGGATCAAATCCTCGCAAACTAAAAGAGATTTGAAGAAGTTTTATAGCTAAATTCTTTGAACTCTTCACTTAAAATAGCAATCATTTCTAAAGTGTGATTAAAGATATTTCGTCTAGACACTTGAATTCTTTTTTGATTTCGGTCTATTGTATTGCTGTAAAAACTTTTAAAAAAAGAGATATCTCAAAACGGTTTTTACCAATCGATCCGTCTTGAATTCAGCTTTAGGATGAGCTATAAAACGTCGAAATTGGACAAATTTAAGGTACTCTCCCAAAAAATCGGAAAGGACTTTTCCACCAACCCAATAGTTTCATCGAAAAATTTCATCGTTTACATTTCTTTCTGTAGTTTGGGTCTACTGTAGTTTGGGTCTACTGTAGTTTGGGTCTACTGTAGTTTGGGTCTAATGTAGTTTGGGTCTATTGTAGTTAAAAGACTTAGCCTCTGTTCTCACGAATTCTCAACAAAATACCAGTATATCACTTTTTCTACTGACCATATAATGCCCGTAGAACTGGTGCTTGGGTAATTGGTTGTTGTGGAAGAAATGTTCGAATACAGTAACCACAAGTCCGAGCACAACGCGTTCTCATTGTGACGAGAAAAGTGGGATTATTGCAGAGAGCTCGTCGTTGCTCACAGTCAAAAACTCCTGTTCGAGGATTCACGCGATCAAAACAAGCTGAAATTTTTTGAAATAAGTTTTAATTATATTTGATTTACCTGTGACATTGCATCGATTACAAGTTTGTGGGCACTGAATAAAGTTTTTCATTTTTAAATAAAAAGTAAAAGTTCAGTTAGTTATAAAAAGAAAACCTGAATGGTCATGACGTTGTAGTATTGGGGATCATTGCAGAATTGACTGAAATTCTTATAATATCAAGATTGTTCTACAGAGGGAATCTTTACTTTCTTTAGTTTCGAGTTTTGATGATAATATATGTTTTAAAGTTTGAATTTCTAGAGCTCTAGGAAGAGCTTTGAGCTCTTAAAGCTCTTAAAAAGAGCTAAAAAGAGCTAAAAAGAGAGCTCTGGTCTTTTTACTCCATTAGAACTAACCGTCGTCGTTCACATTGTGAAACTCCAGTGATATAATCGACAGCATCTATACAAGGCGGAGTTGGAGGTTCTGGCAAATTGAATGAAAAATTGTCATGTTGTTGTTAGAGATTTCCTACCAACAATATAGCATCCATTCTCGAGTGTCACTTGAGATAAAACTGATCGAAAGGAGAATAGAATCAACAGGGAAATCAGTAAATGCATAATCAACCAGGAATAAATTATTTTAAATAGAAAAAGGGTAATTGGTATAACCGATGAGATATTGGCCGTCTTTTCAACACTGAGAGAATCGACACTGTTCCAAAAATTTAAACAGATCCCTCATCTGGGCAAATAAAAGAGAATGGCGGGATGAAGGGCATAGATAGCGATATCCCTTCTTCCGTCATCACATTCAATATGAAACCTTTTTATACCTATTTAGAATGCGTTTATGTTGGTTACAAGTTGATTCGTTGGTTACAATTTGGTTACAGAAAAGTTGGTTGCAATTTGGTTACAGAAAAGTTGGGGGTAGGCTAGTTTCCGCGACTTTTTTTGCGCAACTGGGTCGTTTGCGCAACTCGCCATAACTTTTTTTCTAAGTGGGCCTATCTTTATGCTTTTGGTTTCATTTTGTAGATCTCAATAAGTGCAACAAAATAAAACCAAAAGCATAAAGATTGACCGACTTAGAAGAAAATTATGGTGAGTTGCGCAAACGACCCAGTTGCGCAAATGACCCTGTTGCGCAAAAAAAATTGCGGAAACTAGCCTACCCCAAAAGTTGGCTACAATTTGATTTTACTATCAAATTTATTCAAATATAAGACTTAATCTCACCTTAATTTCAATAAACATTTTTCCAAAAATTAACTTTTATAACTAAAAAGACTAAATGTTTGAATAAGTGTAGCATAAAACGTATTTTTGGGACATCTAATTGATAGAATTCGCTTCGAATTCGCCAAGAAATGCACGATCAAAAGATGAGCGAAAAGTGTTGGATCAGAAGGATGAGCAAGTTATTGTCTTCTTTTTCCATTGTTTCTTAGATTTCTTCTTGCATCCTGGTGGACGACGGGAGTCCCGATCACTACGTGGAAACTAGATTGGTGGAATCAAAGGAGTTACGATTCACCCTTGAAAACCCAAATCAACAACTCGCAACTTTTGCTAATCAATTGAAACCAAATGAGCTTTGAAAAGGTTCTCAATAGACTTTACAAACAGTTTAAAACCTCCCATCCTCCGTTCGGTTGCTCCAGAAGAAATCCCGAGGCCTTATGATTTTCACCGACAAATATTGTCAAGATTAAAATAAGAAATATTCACCAAAGGTTTTCTTAATCAGGTTTAGAATCGTATGTTGACAACTTAACATATTCGCGATGAAGCCATTTTTCACTTGACTGTTCTCTCGGACGATAGTGTCCTATGCTAGCTGTAGACCTGAAAATCCTGTACGCAGGGGTTTTCTGTAGTCCGAATCCGGTGCCTGAAGCGCATTTTAGAAATCGACGTAGAGGAGAATGAGAAATTTTAAATGTTTTTGATTACTACAAAAGAAGTTGTTATATGGAAATTCGAGAAAAAATTGCATATTTGAATTGTCTTTTGGGAATTGTCGGGATTTTCTTCAGGTCACCGGATCGTAGATGGGATTCATTGCGTTTGGCTGTAGATGTGGGCGAAGCCTAACAGACCAGTAAAATAGATGAGGAGTAAATTTATTCGAATTCTTGTGTGTTTCATTTGTTGTGCATACGTTAGAGAGAAAAAATTACTCGGATTCTTGTTATCAAAAGCATTTTAAGGAAATATTATTCCTCATTTGCCTTATAAAAGTTCAACTTTTTCTAAATTCATGGGCTCAAAACGATTTTCATTTGCTAATATGGTGTTTCTTGTTTTCTTTCGTAGTTGACCAGCTTTTTTTCTCGCTCATTTGAACGCATTCAAACCTTTAATTTTAGTAATGCGCTATGTATTCACTAGCAAAAGAAGAATGGGATCAAAATCGGGAAGTCTTGTTTCGACACTTCTTTGCAGGTATCTTCTATTTTTTTTGTTGTCCAAGATTGGACAAGTTTTGTTACTTTACAGTTAACTGTTCGATGTAATTGGATAGGAAATTATCTACTGTAAAGTAATAAAACAAATAGGATTTTAAAATAGAGTTTATACCGAGATTTGGATCAGAATTAGATTCTAATTAAACTTATTTCTACTTATTTTACGATTCATGCTTTCAGACAGTCTACGCGATACACCCGATGATAAGAAAATCTACGATACGAGACGCCAGTTTATCAACAGCTATTTTTTGCGCTTTATGAGGTTGTTTTGTTTGATTTTTCTTATATGGTCTCTGCTTTTAGGACCAGTTGCGAATCGAAAGATCACTTTGACCTTCAAAAGATGAAAAAGGACACGTTTGGAATTCCACAAGATCTGAGTCGTCGCTATTTTACAATGGCACAAAAGGAATTTCCAAAAGCCGGATACTCATTAGGGCACGTGGGTTTTTCAATCTCACTTTAGTAATGAGGACTGGTTTCAGGTAAACCCCTGGTTGATTCGACACTTTGAATATTCCATTCAATTAGCTCTTGACTTCGAGAATGATTGCAAGTTGAAGAAATTACGAGAGTTGAGAAAAGTTAGTTACTTGCAAGTTTTTAAGTTTGACTTTTTCAGGGACAAAAAGGTCTCCCGATTGCTGTTCGCAAACAGGATATTTTAAACGAATTGTCAAAGGTGCTTTTATTAAAATATCTTTAAACTCTTTGTTATAGAACCAAGTCTTGATTGTAGCTGGGGATACCGGTTGTGGAAAATCTACACAAGTGCCACAATATCTTCTAAATGCTGGTTATACGGGAATCGCTGTGACACAGGTAAATAAAAGTTCTGAATTGAAATATTTGTTTCTAGCCTCGTAGATTGGCTTGTATGGCGCTCGCTCGGCGTGTTTCTTACGAAACGCTGAATAATTATGGTAGTGAGGTCGCTTTTCAAATCAGGTATTGGTTTTTAACTTTTATAACTTCTATGATTGAAAATATACAATATATTACTTATTTTAGATTTGAATCTACTAAATCAAAAAGGACAAAGCTTGTTTTTCTAACCGAAGGCTTGTTGTTACGACAGATGGGGAACGATTCACTTTTGCAGCAATATAACGTAAGCAAAAAGTTTCTTTGGTGGCTACTATTTGCAAAGTTTAGGTTATTATATTGGACGAAGTTCATGAAAGACACATTACAAGCGATCTCCTGATTGGGTTGTTAAGAGATTTGGTTTGCTAAATATTTTTACCTTATAACGTGTATTCTTTAGGTTTCAACCAGACCAGATATTCGGTTAATTCTCATGTCGGCAACAATAAATCTCGATTTGTTTAAAGAATATTTTTCTGGTGCACCTGTTATTCAAGTAAGTATAAGTTAGCTAAGAGGAAATTCACAAGTGCACTTTAGGTTCCAGGCCGACTTTACCCTATTAAACTTTTATATCGACCAATCAAACAATTTGTTGAGGAAAAGGGGAAAAAGAGTAACAAAATAGATGCAGAGCCATTTCTTCGTGCATTAGAAGTAAGTATTTTAATAACGTGAAGAAAGCTAGATCTCTTCAGTTAATTGACAAAGAAACTCCCGCATCTGAACGCGGGGATGCGTTGATTTTCTTGAATGGCGTTTCTGAAATCACAACAGTTGCGGAAACCTTGAAAACGTATGCAGAGTTGAATCGAAACTGGATTATCTTGATGCTGCATAGGTAATTAACAAAAACGAAACCAATGTTTCAATTTTTTTAGTACTCTTTCAACCGACGAACAAGATAAAGTGTTTGATGTTGCTCCACCTGGCGTACGAAAATGTATTCTTTCCACAAATATCGCTGAAACGTCGGTAACTATTGATGGCGTACGCTTTGTTATCGACAGTGGAAAAGTGAGTTTGTTTTGGGACCTTTTTAAGATACATCTTTTAAATTTATTTCCCATCCAAAACGATATTTGGTACCTAATATAAACAAATTTACCCACAGATGACTTTTTCTAATGATGCAAAATCTTTTTATTTACCGATTAACCGGTAAATGTTAGGAGTTGGTTTTAAATATTTACGTTCGGTCTCGTCTGAGTTCAATTTAATTCGTTTTAGGTGAACTTGATGCAATATGAAGCATCTACTGGAATGCAACGATTATGCGAGTTTTTTGTTAGCAAAGCTAGTGCTGATCAACGGAAAGGTATTGTTGTGAAACGGTTGAATAATTTTTTAAAAGTCTTAAATATTGAGTCAAAATAGAAGTACTTTTTTTTAAATTAAATTTAGGTCGAGCGGGTCGCACTGGCCCAGGAACGTGTTATCGCCTCTATTCTCAAGAACAATACGACAAAATGGAGCCTTTCACTCTCTCTGAGATCAATCGAGTGTCCCTGGAGGATATGGCACTTCAGATGTTAAACCTGAACCTTGGACGTGAGTTTGCTTCAAGTCATTAACATTTTTAAAAATATTGTTATTTAGTTGATGTTCGTACCTTTCCTTACATTGAACGACCAAAGGAAGACTCACTTAACGAATCAATCGAAAGGCTCAAATTTCAGGTGCATAAACGATTTCCGAGATTAAATAAAGAGTTTAGGGAGTTGTTTATCCAGATCGTGAAAGTCACCTCACAGCACTTGGGTATGCAATAGCCAAATTGCCCGTTTCCGTTCCAATTGCAAAGGTTTGCAATGTTTTTGCATATTCTTGCAATGCTAATTTTTAGATGCTGGTCTATGGTGCTGTCTTGGATTGCACCGATGTAGCTTTAACAGTAGCCGCAGGATTATCAATTCAAAGCCCTTTTACAAATCGGTAAGTTGTTGGCAATGATTGGTAAACTAGAGTTTAGGTCATTTCGCGACGTGAATACCGTAGAACAACGCGGTCGCTTATGCACGACCGTTGGTGGAGATCCGCTGACATTAGTGTCTGTTTTCAGGTAATAAATCTTTCACGTTACACGCCCGTATGTAAAGTGATTACACATTTAAAACTTTAGAGAATGGGTAAAAGAGAAATGCGATGGGCGTTCAAAACGTTGGGCGAATGACTTGGGTGTTGATGAACAGCGAATGTTCGAAATTAGCAAGCTTCGCGCTCAATATAGGTAAGAACTTTATTGTTACGTCACACACAATCTTTAGGCAAATTCTCTCGGATGTTGGCTTAATTGAGAAAGAGGTGGATGATAGTGAAAAAGATTCTCGTCAAAGACGAATTGAGCGTGGTGAAAGACGAAAACTGGAAGATATGAAAAAGGAGGCTAGGTAGATTAACAACAATATATTTTTATATCAAAGGGTTTTTAGAAATAATGCTGATAAACGACGTAAAGTGTTGAGAGCCGATCGCCATTATGACACGATTCTCGATGAACATGAACAAGATGAACTAGGTTGGAGAAAAAATTCTTGGGTTAAATCTTTAAATTTTCAGATAAAGAAGAAGATCCGCTAAAAGCTGATGTGAAATCTGTTGAATTCTTGTTGAGTCACAATCATAAATCGGTAAAATTAACGTAAAAGAAAGAGCATATCCTTTTAGGTGGATACGATTTTGAAAACGCACAAGCTTGGTGGTCGTTCACGAACAACGAGAGCATTAATGATTGCAATAGCGGCCGGTCTTTATCCACATTATGCCGTCCTTGATCCGCAAAATACCTATTCGGTAGTTTAACGGTTGAATTCAACAATAATTTCTTTTTAGAAAGGCAAAGATCTTTTTGCACACACTCGTTTGAAACCGTTTTGTCAACTACATCCAAATGGAGTTGTTCCCCAATATTTTCCTGGTTTGTTTTTATTTGTTGGTTGAAAAGACTTCTAAAAGAGAAAAGATTCTAGAAGTGATTGATTCGTCTGCGGACTCTCAATTTTTCTCAAAAGCGCATCAAGTTATGTTTTATGTAAGTTTTATGGAATATGGACTGAACTTAAACGTGCTTTAAAGGGCACTCTTCTCGAAACAACCAAGCCGTACTTGTGCAATGTTTTGCCGCTGCCTGCCTTGATACTACCGTTAGTGGCGAAGAAAGTAAACTCAATTGTATCTAAAGTGTGACTGAATTATTATGATTTCAGGTTTTGTGCGACGATTGGGCTACAATTTTTGTCGACGATTTTACTACTTTTCAATTCGATGCTGAAAAAGATGGAAGAAATTTTGTCACCTCGATTATTTCACTAAGACAGTTAGTAGACTCCGGATAGCCTTTATTAAATTTTTTCTTTAGAAGGCTGTCCAAAGACATTTTTCTTCGATTGCGAGGCAAAGAAACGAATTCGAGGGGACTTGTACGCGAACTTGATGAGCTTTTCGAGGAGATAATGGGCGACGGGGCATTACTCAAGTAAAAATTACTGCTTTTTTTTATATTCAAAAGTTCAGGATAACTCGTGAAGTACGTTCGCCAAAAATTTTATGCGACACTGGGTTCATCACACCAGACGGACAACAAGATCCGGAGGATGATGAGTTGGCAATGGAACTTGGTGGCGAAGAAGATGCAGAACAACAAGTTGAGGAGCAGCCAATACAAGAAGTTTGTTTGAAGTAACTTCCGGATAGCTGTCATATTTGTAGAATTCAATGGCATATCCACTCACACGACAACAACAAGAAGATGTGCACGAAGATGAGATTAAAGCCAAGAAGCCAAAAATAGAGGTAGTCATAGGATTGAAATTAAAACTTTTATTATTTGATTTTAGGAAAGCTACTACGAAAAGTTGTTGAGAATGCAGCGAGAACGTGAAGAAACACAGAATCGGCCCTGATCTCCATATTATTGTTAAATTTTGATAGGTAATTGAATAGTTGCTATTTTTCATGATGGGTATAAACATACGGTATCTTTTTTTTGCGTTTTATCAACATCAACAATAGAATTTCATTTCATAACTTGATTTACTTTATAAGAAACGCATACCGGAATCAAACCAAAGCGAATCGACGGAACGAAATTAAATGAAAAACACAATATTCTTGGTTTTAAATCAAGGAAAATGTAAATTAATAGCATTTTATGTTAATTTTGTGACTTAGCTAAACTGCAAACTGGATCACGATGGAAATTCAAAAAATGTGACTGAAGTTACTGGGGGTATCCAATTCAGGTATCTGTGATTTTCATTTAACATCGACTTGACTAATGAGCAACCTTATTATTTTATTTGCATAATTCAAGTTTAGCTTTGATTATTTGACATTTGATCTCCTCACAAAGCGATCTACGATTTTTCTTCATAGACTTCACTTTCAATATCATTTTTCAGCTTTTGAAAGGGAATTTTGGATGAAATTGCTTGAAATTTAAGCCCGCTTACGCGACAATGTTTTTGAAGGGAGAAAATGGAAAAAGAGAAAACATCGAAAATTCTCGGCAATGCGATTAGCCGACGATTTTTGAGTAACTTATGCAAATTTCGCAAATTCGCGAAACATTTCAAAGTTTTGCCTCTCAATATAGCGATTAAACTGTCGAAGAATCAAATGTATGTATACTATTTCATTTCATTCATTTTCATTTCATTTTTAAACTCTTTTTTTTTCATTCATGCAATCAAAAGTTCCTCGTCTGGAATGCCGATTCTAAGTTTTAGGCTTTATTCTAGCTTTAGGCTTTATTCTAGCTTTAGGCTTTATTCTAGCTTTAGGCTTTATTCTAGCTTTATTTTCTTCTAGCATTGTCGTTCTTTGTAAGGATTGTTCTTTTTTTTTGTTATGACGCACTTCAGAAACATCTCAAACGATGGCGAAAAGTGATGGTGAGGAGAATGCGGAAACGACACAAACGCCTCCCGCAGCTCCTCCAGCTCCCGCAGCTCCTCCATCAACCCCACAACAGACACCCGTTAATGGGGTACGAGTTTGTGATAGGATGCTAATAGTGGATCTTAAAATTGTGAAAAATCGATTATCTTAGTACCCTAAAATTCCATAGATAAGAGCGGTTTAATTTTTGCCAATTTTTTTTAAATATTTTAATTTATTATAAAAGCAAACAACAACAACAACAACAAAAGTAACAATAATTTAATTAATATTTTCAATTTCTACATCACCATCATCGTTTATATCCATACCGGAAAAATCGTTTTTGAGATTTTCAACATCACACAGTGCTTTTTCAAAGCTATGTATGATAGTGTCAGAAGAGATGGAAAAAAAACTTTCGCTGACCAAAAATGCTGCTTCTTGGTAGCTCATTCTTTTTCTGATTCCGCTTTTTGTATAATTTGCATTGGCTTCGTTTGCCATCCATTTTTCATCAGCTCTTGATTCATCCAACCTTTTTCATTCGTTTTGATGATGGCATTTGTCGGGAATTTGCCTTTCGGCATCAACTTCTTCTTAAAAATGAGCATCGGCTTGAGTTTTTCGCCAGCAGCAGTCACACCAAGTACAACTGTAAAATTTGACCTCTCATGACCAGTGGAATCAATTTTTATGTTGTCTCGCCCCTTGACATCCACAGTCCGTTCATACACGACATCAAAGAGAACCGGAACTTCATCGACATTTCCTAAGTTGTGACGAGAAATGTTTAAGCCTTCAGCTGCGATAAACTTCCGGAAAGAAGAACACTTTTGCTGATGGTCACATGGCAGTGGTTGTCCTACACTTGTTCTTCTTCGTATCGACAATTTTTTTCGTGCCATGAATAAGCTGCACCAACGCGGGATGCCTTGAACTCGTGGTAACCGTGCTCTTCTGCCAACTTCTTTGCTCTGGTTCTTATCTCATTTATTTTGACTGCTCTATTAAGGTCTCTCTTTTGAACAATCCAATTGTAAATTTCCTCCTCAATTTCTTCCACGCTTGGCCTTTTGTAACGCCGGGCTCTTTTCGTTGCTGGCATCTCCTCGAGGATATCCCTATCCGCAACCCATTTTCTAATCATTCCTTCAGTCACATCAAAATGAATAGCTGCCGCTAATGTTCCATGCTTATCCCGGTGCTTCACCGCATCATGCTTGAAAGCCACCGTATAAGACTTGCGACGTTGCATGATTTCTAAAATAAAAAATATAAAACGTAAGGTTAAAAAACAAAAAAAAATAAAAATAAGGAAAAAAATTAATATCAATAACAAAATTTCAGAAAAAAGTATTTTTTAGCGATAACCGCTCTTATCTATGGAATTTTAGGGTATATAGTATGCTTGAGTGCATTTCTTTTCTTCTGCTTCAAAGACAACCAATCAATCTTGTCAGCTTAATTTTAAACATACTGCACATCGGCGCGAAAATGCGTTTTCTATCGGATTTTTCTGGGAGTACCTTTTTTAGATGCGGAAAATTGTGCTGTTTCCGAATCTGAAGGAATTTTTCAAATCCCTCTGACAGAAATTTTTAAAATTTAGTTTTAGTATGATAATATTGGCATTATTCCAGTATACTGGAATAATGCCAATATTAGCATCTTGTAAGGCTTGTAATTTCATCAAAAAATTGAATAACTAAAATGAAAACATTAAAATTCTAAAATGTATTTACTATTGAAGGTTGATATCAAAAAAAATTTTAGGGAACCTCGAGAGCGAGTAGTGAAGAATCGACGGGACCTCGGCCAAGTCTCACGAAACGTTTGAGTTGTATTGAGGTGGGAAAGCTTGTGAAATTCGTTCATAAAACATTCAAAGCGATAAAACAAAAAGACTCTCGGAAGAAAATTGATGACCGCAAAGCTGTCAACCTAGATCAATCACAGAGATTTTCCCAATTCTCTTGTTCATTTCATTGCAATTCAAAAAAAAACCCCCGACATTGACCTTTTCTCTTGAAAAGCCATTAATTTGAGGTCAAGCCTTACATCTCAATTTGGAAAAAATTTCAAATTCCAGGTGTCCGGAGCTCCCCCACCGCTCACAATCAAGAAAGTCACCTCGTTTGCCATCGATCATGAAGCCGCACAAGCTCAGTAAGAATTGGAAATAAGGAATTGGAAAAGATTGGATTGGAATTAGATTGGGTTAAATTGGATTAGATTGGAAAAGAAATGGAGAACACCCAAGTTGGTCAAAGAAAAAAAAGAAAAGATGAAGGGAGAGTCGAACCAGAAAGTGTTCGATAGTCGATAGTGTTCGATAGTGTCCCATAGCGTTCGATAGTTTTCGATAGTGTCCCATAGTGCTAATGGGTTAGCGCCCACTACCTCTCAACCACCGACGCTTTTAAAACGTCTTTTTGAAACTAACTTATCACAATTTGAACTTGAGTTCGAAAATGTCTTGTAAAACTTTAAACTCGTATAATTTTTAATAGGGTAGCGCATAGCAAAAACTGAAACCATTTTCGGAATCAGTGTGAAATTCTGCGTCGAATGGTATCGAGCAAATGCCATTTGGCCACCTTCCCTTGTATTTTTTTTGTTCAATCATTTATCAATCAATCTTTAATTGAAATGTGATGTTAAATCTTGTCGGAGATAGTTTTAATTGGCATACTGTAGTGAGACAAATGACTGGGAAATTACAGTACTCGTAACTAGGTATTGTAATGTTTTCTAACAGTTGAAACTAGGGCAGATCAAAAACTTATGCGCCGCCGGGACTCGAACCCGCGACCTTTCGCGTACCGGGCAACTGTGCTAACCATTACACCAAAAAGCACTTGATCTTCCTTACTCCAGAGGGAGTTAACTTAACAAAAGCAAACATTTGGGTACAAATCGAGTTTATCAATAGAATTAAGCGAACTTTCATATATCCGAGACAGGGCGGGGATTCCCCCTTTTCTTTTCCCCTTTTTGCAAATCATAGATGAGACTGATCACTTTCCACCAAAAATTTATCGTTTTACTCTTTCATTTTGTCCTATCTAACCCCTCCCCTTCCCCTTTCCCCCGATTTCTACGGCTATTCGACTAATCACCTCGAAAATATTGACTCTTAATTGTTTCTTTTCTTTTCTCCTTTTCTTCTTTTTCGATTCATTATCACCTCCTTTTATTCATCCTTTTTCTTCGCAAAATGTCCGATGATTCTCCATCTCATTCACCTACGAGATCTCGGAAATCACCCCACGCAAATAGATCACTCAAGTTGGTGCATTTTTCTATCGAATTTCTTAATATTTCTTGTTATTTTTGATCGGGTTTGTTTTCTATAAGATCTCTTCTTGTTAATTACTGTCTAACAGTTTTAATGAAGATGCGTATACTGTAGTTGAGTTGAGATTCAAGATTACTGTCGATTTGTAATTCAATTCGCAATCGATATCGGTTTTAAGCGGCTTACAGTAGCTTTTAATCCTTTTTGTCTGAAAGGTCAAAATGTGACGATTAAGTACAGTACTGGACAATGAAATATCATATTTGAAAAACGATCGTCACTTTCGCGCGCCTGTAACTCCCTTGTCTTTGAGTTTAAACTATTAGTGTGATACATTCTCTGAAAGCTCTTTTTAAGGGCTACACAATGGTAATATTAATATTTAGAAATACGGTAAAGACACGGGAGTTACAGACGCGCGAAAGTGACGATCGATTTTCAAATATGATATTTCATTGTCCAGTAGTGTAGATGAAAACTCCGTTGCCGAGATCGATTCGATCGTTGTTAGACAGCGCTGTACTGTGCAAGAGTTGAAACGAAATTTCTGGATTTTCTGGATCCATAACTTCTCCAGCTCCTTTCACACTTACTTATTTTGTTCGCCGAGAATCGAGGGAATTCTTGATTTTGTTAAAAAGCCTATAGCAGTGTAGCAGACAGAGTGAGCACACTTTCTGCGACTCGTACCCGATCAGCTTAGCGCCTAATTTGGAAAAGAACGGAAAAATTTGTATCGAAAGAGAGTGATCGGCCAGAGCTCACAAAGTGAGCAAAAATGAGATCTTGATCGGAAAAAGGAATGGATATCAATCATTTTTCATTCATTTCTCATTCATTTAATCCTTTTCTTTTCTTTCATTCATTAATCTCCCCGATCAAAATTGTTTCCGCTCAATTGTGATTCGAGCGAGGAATGACACAAATTATTATTCATAAAGAGCGTGAAATGACACAAATTATTATCCATAAAGTTTACACAAAATCAATGCTTTTGGATAGTGGAAAAAAAGTGAATGATAGATCAAATTGAGCAAATTCAATAATAGTATTAAATAATTAACTGATGGAAAAATGGTAGTTTGACAAACGATAAACTTAAGAAAAAGATCTACCAAGACTTGGACGTTACAAGATTTTTGAAGTTAGGCTAACATGTCTAGACTCTGGATTAAGATTAACTATAGTAAAGATTATAGTAAAGGTGAGTCTAACAGATTAGATAAAGTCCAAATTTGTATATATATGTCAATAAAAATGTAACAAAGAAATTCCAGGAAACGTCCCTCGTGGTGGCGCCGGATGTCGGTTAGTTTTCTTTTGACATATTCAAGCCATTTTATTCTTAAAATTTATAAACTTTATAATAGTATTATTGGATTGGTGAATTGAAAACTGCGGGCTATTGTCATATGTGACAGTTTGAGCACTTTCTTCAAAAGAAACCCATTTTGGTGTCAATGGAAAAGTTGTAGAGAATCAAAAATAAAGCTTATATCCAAATTTTCAGAACGATTCAAAAACTGGTTTTCAAGAAATGCGAAATTTACGAATTTTCACAAAACTTGCATTTTAAGCGAAACTACTAAGTGTATCTTTTTGGAAATTTGGCTATAAGCTTAGTTTTTGATTCTCTACAACTTTTCTATTGACACCAAAATGGGTTTCTTTTGAAGAAACTGCTCAAACTGAGGCATCTCGACATCTCCAGTCCTCCATTTTTGAGTCTCACACTTGTCTCACACACAAACCAAAATCCTACTACGAAAGAGGAATCCGCAAATTGCCTGTAAAATGGGCACAAGTCGTCAATAATAATGGAAATTATTTGGAATGAATTCATGGTTTTATGTTGAATAAATTTTAGTTCAAAGTCCCGCAGCTTTCAATTCACCAACCCAATAGATAGACTTAAATGAACAATTTGTAGATACGATTTGTACTTTTTAGAATGTGGGCGCGGTGCCTCCCCCTCCCGAAATTGTCGTCTCCGGAGAAGCATTCAAGTAGAAATTATTTTGTTATTCCTCAAAAAGCTGGATTTATTCATCAAAGATTTATTCATCAATTTGAAATTTTATATGAATTTTTGTAAAAATTGCACTAAAATCTTTCTTAAAAAAGAAAGAAGAGCTTTCCGGAAAAGCCCGGAAAGCTCTCCTTTCTTTCATTCAAAGCTTATCTAAAGAATGTCATAAATTAAGCCCATTACCATTTAGCTGATATTATCTCGTGTCAGGGAAAAAATCTATCAAAAACATTTTCTGATAGATAAGTGATCACTGCCTTTTTTGAAAAGGAATCAGAGACCAGACAGCAGACATAAAAAGAAATTATTTTTCTCTGCAAAAGGGGCAAATGATGAAAGAATTATTTTGGGGGAATTGAAAGAAAAACAAATCAAAATTTATAGGTGACAAGTTGAGCTAATCAAATAATAATATCTTTACATTTTTCAACAATTTTAAGTATGAGCAACGGAATGGAGAAAAATCGGAACATCTCGACCGCGTCGATCAATGATCGTGAGTTCGTTGCTGAAGTGTAGGGGCACCACTAACAATTTGATAGGGAAATTGTAATGCTTGGCACAGTAGACTTCCAGTCTCTCGATTGACTCGCTATAACTTTCTTCTAAGTGGACCAATCTTTATGATTTGATTTTGGTTTCATTTTGTTGCACGTATATCGGATATATTGCCGGATTTCGTTTGAATTCAGTAGTCTAAATACTTTTTCATCTCTAATAGCGGGAAGAATACTGGAACTTTACGGTGTCTAGGGGGTAGGCTAATTTCCGCATTTTTTTTGCGCAACAGGGTCATTTGCGCAACTCGCCATAACTTTCTTCTAAGTGGACCAATCTTTATGATTTGATTTTGGTTTCATTTTGTTGCACTTATTGAGATCTACAAAATGACACCAAAATCATAAAGATTGATCCACTTGGCGAAAGTTATGGCGAGTTGCGCAAATGACCCTGTTGCGCAAAAAAAAAATGCGGAAATTGGCATACCCCGTGTCTAGCAACTAGCAAGTGTTTAACAAGTTTTATTATCACTTCTTTTTGATACTACTGTTTTTATGGAGATCTAACAAACCAAAAGACCAACGTTTTTTCAAGTTTGCTTTGCTTTTGTTTCAAAGCCACACCCAACGAAACTCCAATAATTGATTCACTTCAGGAAACAAATACACACAGATGTTTACAATTGAGAGTCCCAAAATTGCTTTGCTTTTCCCCATCACCTTTTTGAGCGCCCTATTCCTTCATTTTTGAAAGTCATTTCAAAGCGAAAAACCGTCCCTTTTTTTCTGTGATGACCCCTTGCTTATTCATGCTGTTTTCCCTCTCTTTTTATCGAATCGACTTTTTCTTCGTTTTCTTTTTTCAATGGAGAAGACGTTTTTGCGTGAAGAGAGACAAATAATGGACCCAGTGTTGGCTCTTAAAAATCGCTTATCTCGATTTGGCGCGGGGTTTTCTCGAGGCTCTTGATGAGTCGTATTTCCACACCCCACTTTCTAATAGCCGATCTGTTTTTCAATTCCTTGCTTTGCTTCGAAGTTTTTCTCCAAAATATTGTTGTGCTGGCTTGACAATTGACTTTCAAAATTTCTGTCCAAATTGATCATGTTCACAAAAATGGGATTAGGGAAATACAAACTGAACTTATTTTGATCAATAATGTTGTCAGAGCTGCCAATACTTACCTAATACTTTTGCCAGGCAAAAAACTTGAAGATTTGAAGAACGATTCAGTAATTTTTGTATTTGAGGGTGGCCTTTCCTCCCTTTTTCCCCAAAATGACCAACAACACCTGCTTTGTCTCTACTCCTGTTTTTGAACAGAAAAACCACACTTTTCGCGCGCCTTTCTCCTTTTTCTTTGGCCGTATCAAAAGCTTCAAACGCCCAATTGCGTCAAGAACTTTTCGTTTTGTAATTGGGGAATTTTATGGCGTTAAAAGACCGTAAAACCATTCATAACCCTTTTACTTGACCCCATAAAAAGTCTCTCTTTGCCTCTTTTGAGACCATCAGATATGCGTGTAATTTGAAGTGCTTGGGGTGTTATTGAATACTTAAAAAGACACTTTCCCTGGGCTTATAATTTCATTAAGCTTTGAGCAAAGCAAGTATTCACAAACCGGAGACAATGAGTGATAGATATCCCCTATCTTTAAAAATCGCTCAAGTGGTTTGGCAAACAATCGTCTACCCCCGAAAATTGCCCCGCTCTTCAGCTGGGTTCTTTCGAAATTTAAAGGAGGTTTCTTCGTGGAAAAAGAGCTCTGGTAATCACATCCAACCACTCAACGACACCCTCTGTGTGAAATGACCCTGAAAACGAATGCCAATGGCAGCTATTAGAGATGGCTGAAGGGCGAAGAGGGGAAATGAGGAAGACTCTTCTCGAACATCCTGTCTCAAATGTTCTATTCCAATCTTTTTCAAAATATCAGTTGTTTTTCAGAAATTCTTTATTTTTTTTACCTTTATTTTGAGAAAAACAGTAATTTCATGGGAAATTTCATTTAAATTCTGCGTGGTCCTCACAAAAAAATGATTCTTTTGAATTCTACATGTAAAAGCTTTAGAAAACTATCGTTTTTATAAATTACCCGTTCTTTATTTTGTCTAGAGATTATCGCTCCTTTTCTTATTTGTTTATTGATATATCCATCCACGTTTCGCTTTGCAATTGAGGCATTGGTCATTTACTCTTCCACACCTTTAACCATTCAGAAACCTTTTGATTACCCAGCACTTGGTTTTTAGACAATTTCTGCTCTTTTTATGTTTTAAAGCTTACTAATGTTTTTTTCTTTCTAGCTCCAAACACGGACGCCTCAACGTCAACTTTTGATCTTCCACATTTTATGGACGTTTGCGGTCTTCGATGAGCGAAAAGATTTCATTGTCCGTGCCGGGAGAAGGAGAACAAGAACGATTACTTCATCACATCGATGACGGACACGCGCCTTCGCCAAGCGCTTCTACCCCGGCTACACCATCTGGCAAAGAGACGCGAAAAGTGAACCGTTTTACTCTCGAGATCGACCACAACAGTGTGCTCAACTATCAATCTCACAACGGGACGGGACCAGCTCCACCGACTACTTCGACTTCGCTTTTCGTACCACCCGTAGTTAATAGCACTGGCTCACCTAAACATCCGCCATCTAACATCTCAGATGCAAGCAATATCAGTAGAAATAATAGCACAAGTAAGCTTTTGTTTTATTGCAGCTTGAACTTTTCATTATAATTTACATTTTTTTTTCTTTAGGGGAACTCTTCTCTTGGGAACATGGAAAAACAAACAATTTGGCACTCTTCGATGAGCCCCAAGGGGAATTCGTGTCCAACATTCTCAGTGGATTCACAACTCCTGGCCCTGCTGAACGAGATCAACAAAAACGTACAAAAGTAATGATTTTCTTTATATATTATCTATATTTTATATTATATTTAGGCCAATCTTGGAGTCATTTTGGGGGTCTACTTGCCAACAATTCAACACATTCTGGGAGTTACAATGTTTATTCGCCTTTTTTGGTAACTCTAACAATATTCTTTTGAAAGTTCTAAGTTTAGGTGCGTCGGAATTGCCGGTCTTGGACAAACGTTTCTCATGCTTTTTCTTTGCTGTTTTTGCGTAAGTTTAAGCAAGCAATTTAAACGAAATACTGTTTAGACATTCCTCACTTGCATCTCAATCTCAGCAGTTGCCACAAATGGAGTGATGGAGTCCGGAGGAGCCTACTATTTAATATCTCGAAATCTTGGGCCCGAATTTGGATCCGCCGTTGGTAAGCTTTGGAAATGTTTTGTTGAAATAGTGGAACTTAAGGTATTCTCTTCTATTTGGCCAACACCGTTGCCACTAGTATGTACTTGGTCGGAGGAATCGAAATTTTATTGGTGCGTTGATCTAATAGCAAAGTTTCTCATTAAATTTCTTTTAGCTGTACCTTGCGCCTGGGCTCACAATTGGTGGCACCGAAGTGCATCACGACACTGGTTAGTGGACGTTCGCTTTAAAATTAGTAATTTTTTTAGGAACTTGGGGATGGATGACACACAATCTTCGTATTTACTCAACCCTCCTTTTGCTACTCGAATTCTGCATTGTGGCTATGGGAGTTCGATTTGTGCAAATGTTGGCACCGGTAGCTTTAAAAAGGATAAAATAAGCCTCGTGTCTTTTTAGGTTTCCCTTACATGTGTTGTTCTGTCAATCCTTGCCTGTTATGCTGGTGGTGTCCAGAAAACTCTACATCCAGAAACGGGACAACAGTAAGCTTCAACTCTTTTAAAAACACTATTTTATGCTTTAGCATTTGTATGCTCAACGATCGACTTCTCCAAACAACTGCCGTCATGCCAAGCGATGGGAACTTCAGCGACATTTGCCTCTATTGCAATAAAAAGTAACTTGATTAACTCGTTGTGAAACCGTTGCTCATATTTTAGTTCGAGCCATATTATGGACACGTTCTGCTCCGGAAATGCTTCATCGCCATCGCAATGCCAAGAGTTTCTTCTTGGAGACCTGAAATGCATCAATGGCTATCCGGGATTCTACAGCAATGCCCTTTTTGGTACGTTAACTTTTGTTGTAACGTCTTACACACTCTTTAGATAATCTTGGCTCAAGCTACATGGAGGCTTTCTATACTTCACCCCACACAGAAGCTAATAAATCGACTGACGTGTTTCAGGTGAGTTCCATTATCCTATGGCAATGACAGGTCTATTTAATTTCTTTAAGGATGTACGCACGACGTTCTTTGTTCTTCTCGCTATTTGGTTCCCGGCAGTGACTGGAATATTTACTGGAGCGAACATGAGCGGTAGAATTTGTTATCAAACTTCGAACATTTTGGAGTTTAGGTGACCTAAAAAACCCTCAATCATCGATTCCTGGTGGAACAATCGCGGCTCAGCTGACAACGTCTTTCGTCTACTTTTCACTGGCCTTTGTTTTTGGAGCAACTATCGACGGAAATGTTTTGAGAGACAAGTATTAATTTTCCTAATGAGATACTTAATCTGCTCCACTTTAGAAGTGGGAAAGGGTTGAATGGTAATATGGTTGTTGCCTTGCTTTCATGGCCATCACCTTGGGTTCTCTTGATTGGATCGTTCCTTTCAACTTTTGGAGCAGCTCTGCAGGTAGTTAATAAATTGCAAGCCCTTAAAATTTTGTTTTAGTGTCTTTGCTCGGCACCACGTCTTCTTCAGGCAATTGCAAAAGATGATGTTATTCCCATCTTGGCTCCATTCAAAAGAGTGACGGCAAAAAACGAGCCTTTCCTTGGGTATTTTTTCTGTTATTTGCTATGAAGAACCAATTTTAGCCTGATTTTAACAACGATCATCGCTGAGTGTGCAATTTTGATGGGTGGGATGGATTCGATTGCAGCAGTTGTGGATTTCTTCTTTCTTATGTGCTACGGATTCGTGAATATCATCTGCGCTCTTCATTCAATTCTTGGTGCTCCCAATTGGCGACCTCGTTTCAAATACTATCATTGGTATTTTAAAATTCGTTGATCTTAATCTCCTATGTAGGTTATTATCGTTGACTGGTGCATTTCTCTGTTTCTTCATTATGTTTTCGACTCATTGGGACTACGCGATTATTTCATGCGTGCTATGCTTGGTGATCTACAAATATGTCGAGTGGAAAGGGTATTTACTCAACTTTTTCCCAATTGTCATCATTTTGTTCGTCTTTAGTGCTAAAAAAGAATGGGGTGATGGTATCCGTGGTCTTGCTCTCTCTACTGCACAATATTCGCTCATGAAAATCGAAGACAAAGATCCTCATCCAAAAAATTGGAGGTAATGTCGATGTATTTATACTAACCTAGACCGCATTTAGACCCCAACTTTTGCTAATCCTCTCAATGCCCTGGAGCCGAGAAAATATTGACTTACGGTATCGATTTCTTAGTTCACCATTATTGTTTTGTATCTCAGTTACATGAATCTTCTGAACTTGGCAGCACAACTCAAAGCTGGGCGAGGGCTAACAATTGTCTCATCTTTCATTCGTGGCAATGCGTTTTCCATTGATGACCGAAAGCGCGCTAATGAGGTTAAAATACGACTTTTCTAAAAGCTAGCTATTTTTTAGATTCGCCATCGTATGGAGTCGGATATGAATACGTTGAGGCTTAAAGGTTTCAGTAAAACAGTCATTTATGGTGAAGATCAGGTAATTAGCGGGTTGATGAGTAGAAGCGGAGAATTTTTTTAGATTATTGGATCAATGTCTACACTTGTTCAATCAATCGGTCTTGGAGGTTTGAAACCAAACACGATGCTTATTTCATGGCCGACGCATGATCGTGGAGAGCACGAACTTTCGGATAGTGAATATCAGACTTTCACTGGTATCGTTTTACAGATATAATCCCTATTCTAGTTTTTTAGACAAATTACACGCAGCTGTTGCAATGGACATGTGCCTCCTTGTTGCCAAAGGAATAATCAACTTCCCCACGGCCCAAACAAGTGTCAAACTTCATGTAAGCTCACCTAACTTACCTTTCATAAAGTAAATCTAGGGATTTATCGATGTCTACTGGATTGTTCAAGACGGAGGCCTTTGCTTGTTGATTGCTTACCTTTTGAAATTGAACAAGGTATTGGTATAATACATGCGTTTTTAAAAATAAATTTTCAGGTTTGGCGCGGATGCAAGTTACGTATCGTTGCAATTGCTCAAGAGTCTGACAACAACACTAAAATGCAGCAAGAGCTTCAAAAATATGTGTATCAACTCCGTATCGATGCAAAAATTCTGGTTTAATTCTTAACAATTACATATTTCATAGCTTCATTTAGATTGTTGAACTTGCAGATCCAGAAATTTCCAAGAATGCCTTCGAAAGGACGTTGTTGATGGAAGAACGAACAAAGTTTATGCAAAAGATGCAGCAACAACGCTCGATCCAACGTGGTGAAGGGCAGCTTCTATCTGTTTGTAAACTCTAAGCAACAAATAAACTTTAATTTTTAGCCATTAGCACGTCCTGAAAAACGTCAAAAGTCGGACACCAAAGGCAGTGGAGACGAACTTGAAACAGAGGACAGTGGAGAAGAAGAAAAGAAACAAGAAGAAAACGATTGTTGGTTTTATGAGTCGCTATTTTTATAGTCAAACTTAGCTGTTCCTGAACTTACCGACCAAGAGAAGAAGCAGGATGTCAAGAAGAAGATGCGCGCTCTGGATCGAAACAAAGTTTGTAGTATTTGACAAATCAAAAATTGCCTTGCAATTTAGGTACACAAAATGCACACGGCCGTCCGTTTAAACGAGCTCATCCTTGAACATTCAAAGAACGATTCACAACTTGTGTTGCTCAATTTGCCTAAACCACCGCTTGGAAAAGAAGGTTAGAGCTTTCGCCTCCACTCAGTTACGATTGTAAATTTTAGGACTTGATGACTACATCCACTATTTGGAGGTGTTGTCCGACAAACTCGAAAGAGTCATCTTCGTACGTGGAACCGGGAGTGGAAAAGAAGTACTTACTACACATTCGTAAAACCTTTCACTTCAGATATTATTTGTTGTTGAGTAGTCTAGTGAGATTTGAGAATAAAGTAGAGTTTTAATTTTCTGCATAATTTAAACTTTTCCTAATGCTTTTGTTTTACTTGAGAAGTTTTAAGCTTTCTCTTTCTTTTAAACACCTTTCAATTCTGTACAATCCACATGTAACTTTTTGGACAAGGCCTTTTTGAATGGGTATTTTTGTTGCCTTGTTCCATATTTACTTGTGATTCTTGGGATACATTTTGACCTGTGATCTACATCGTTATGTAGAGTTGATTTGCTTCTACTTCTTTTGGCGATTGTATCTATTTAAAGAATAAAGCATTATTTCCAGGCTTTTGAATCATCCATTGAACTTTTATGCATTTAAATACTTGGAAACCATTTTAACTTCCCTTTAAACTTTCAAAAGATAAGCAAGACAATGAACGTTCGGTGGTACTGGGCCAAGCCGTTCCGCAACTATTCTTGTTGTAACATCATTCAAATAAATCTCTGACACACCAAAATTCGCACGCATGTTCTGTCACACACAAGCATTTTATTTTTAGCTCCTAACCACAGTATCCTAGTTTGTGTAGGAGAAGGAAATCATTAGTTTATTATAATAATTGCCTTTAAAGGACTAGATGCAAAAATAAGTTTTTTGAAAGATTATAAACTGAAAGTTCAAATAGAAAGTTGTCATCTCGATGTTATTGTACGAAAAATAGTCTTCACACTGCCACGTGGGCACTCATTTTCTCTCTCCGAGCTATAAAAATTGTTTTGTTTTTCACTGGTTTTGTTTTTGATTTGATTTTCATTATTTTATTTTATTAAGCAGTGCAAATAGCTTTTGAATGAAATTTAAAGTTACTGCAAGTGTCTACGCTACAAAAACCTGAAAAAGGCCCTAAAATAGACGTATTCAGTCATCGAGGCTGGATATTCTCTTTCTGAAAAAAGATATTTAGAATATTTTTTGATGTATTCTACAATAGCTTTTTTTTCTTTACCTTTTTTATCGATTAAAAAGCAGAAAAAGGCTGATCTTGTTGCTTTGCTAACAAGAAGTCCTTTCAGATTATTTGGGTAAGGATAAAATGGATCCGAAAAAAGAACCGATCAACGACGATGGAAACAAAACCCCGCGAAGAGATTGACGGAGAGGTCAACAACTACGATGAGCGCAAGTTTTCTTTGTAATTTGCATATAAGATAAATGAGTAGAATTGGTTCTGAAAATCTCATTTTTATTTCTCTTCCTATTTCGATTCGAACTGGCGTTGTCACACGCTGAAGATCTTCGCGTTCAATACGATTTCGCTGATGGGGTGCAAGTATGGGTCGATCAGCAACACGTCATTATTCGAGTCCAAGAACACAAACATTTCTTCGGGCATGCCGAACGGATTGCCGATCGAGGTGTCGGCTTGAAGATCTTCGTTACTCGCTACCCTTTGATGAAGATCCGAAATTTTTGTGAAAAGTGGTAGGTTTTGCTATTGCTTTCTTTATTTCGCTGTACATGTACATAAAATTAGAGCTTTTACTCATCTTTACTTTCAAATTTAAGGTCATAGGCCAACGTTTAAGCAAAGTGATTTCCAAGTTCTCTTGAAAGAGATGACTGAATACTTTCACTTTGTGTCCTTTGTTGAATACTGTAGTTCAAACAGGGGACGGAGCCATTGCTTGGGGAGTGGGACAAATGCGACCTTTTTTTTTGCGCACCCGGACATTTGCGCACCTTTTCTTCCGCACCTTGCCCATTAGCGCACCTTTTTTCGCGTTTTAAAAAGGTCTAAAAAGCTAATATTAACCAATTTCTATTCCAAATGTTGTTTTTCTAGGTAATTTTAGGGCGTAGAATCGAAATTTTGACATATCAGAGCTTGTGGAAACAAACGGGCAGAGTTATACAAAGAGAAAAATCGACAATTTTCTGTAATTTGATCTAGCCGTTTTGTCTTTCAAATTGGTTCCACACGCTCTGTTATGTCAAAATTTGAATTCGACACCCTCAAATTACCTAGAAAAACAACATTTGGAATAGAAATTGGTTAATATTAGCTTTTAGAGCTTTTTAAAACGCGAAAAAAGGTGCGCTAATGGGCAAGGTGCGGAAAAAAAGGTGCGCAAATGTCCGGGTGCACAAACAAAAGGTCGCATTTGTCCCACTCCCATTGCTTGATATTTAAGCATATAGAAAATTTTTTTTTAATTGCCTTTTATTGGGTTATGCGCTCAAAAAATTTGTCGCTCTTTTTGATATTTTTACAATCACTTTTACAGGCATTCACATCTACCTATAGTTTACTATTTAATCTAGTATAATTTTGAAAAGTAGTCTGTCTGTCTGTTACCACGTTGGTCATATTATAAATATTAAAATTTCAAACTTATCATGACCGTTTCTTTAGACTTCAACTGTTGACGGCCGTTTGACCCTGCATGGAGCGTTCACGGTCAAGCTCACTTTCTCCGGTCAGATATTCAACGTGTGTCGCACGAATTGCAGAATCAAGGTTATAGTATTGTGAACATGTAGCTCAATTTTGTTTTCCCCGTGATCTCAATAAATTGTGATACCTATTTCAAGCCAGAATGCAAATACGTAAAGGGGCGACATTGCACACAAAGAAACTACTTTTGAGCTCACACAAGATAAATGCGTTGGCATTGTTTCAACAGTCTTGCTTGTCGATTAGTTGATGAATTTATTTTGGTACATAACCAAGCTTTCGTAGAACAGTGCAACAGTGCTACACCCCTTTTATTTATGACTTTTTCACATGAAAACCACTAAATAAAATGGTTTTCTTTCCCAGAACGGCCAGGATCTTCTTCCTTTAAGAACAACATCAGCGCACTGGTATGATCTATGCTCCAAAAGTTCTCACTGGAAAATATCGTGGGAATCAGAATCTCCTGAATTGTAACTATTTTTAATCATTCTAATGTCTTTTATTAAGATAACAAGCATTTGGGTCGAATGAGGTCAAATTGTCGCTGCATTTATACTCGTTCACGATAATGAAATGACCCCAGCACATTTTTCTCAAATCTAACCATTCCGGGTTCACACTCTGGACACGGACCAAAGTGTTGCTAAACGGTCAAAGTCGACAACGCCCCCGAAATCTTTTCAATTATGCGAAAGCGATCAGAATAAATTAATTTCTTTCGCAAATGATTTATTTGAAAAAATCCGCACAATAATTGGCATGAAGAACTGAAAAAGCTATGGCATGAGGAACCGAACAAAAGAGAAGAACGATACTATCAAATGGATGATTCACTTATTCAACGAACATTTATAAACTTAATGCCGAATTATGCTTCATGAAATGATCTCATATTGGAGGAAATAATTGGAGACCGTTTTATAGAAATTTTTAATGAAACAAATTGTGCTAATGCTACACATGAAAAGTACCTAGGTTACTGCAAGAAGAAAAGAACGAAAATGCAATGGAAATGTAACTACAGGGTTCAATACGTCTAGAATTTTGCACCGGCAAGCAAAAATGGATTTCCAAAGTCCAATAAATTAAAGCGAACATAAACGGCGAGGGCAACACAATAATCTGAAGGCAGGGGTAAATACCGCGTTGTTTAAAGATATAACTGTTTTGAGCGGACGCAAAAACGAAAATTTGATTCATTTTGCAAGGAGAAATATAAAGATTGTGAAAACAGTGACGCGCCCAATCATGACAAGGTATGAAATAAAATAAATGAGCGAAAAAGATACCGATATGAAGAGAATAAGTTGCCGTAAAGAAAAGACGTTGAGAGCTGCTTTAGAATAGACCGCATTGTTTGAGATTATCCCGAATGATGATGTCCGTCACAGCATCGAAGACAAATCTAAAACAATTACTTTGAAAAGGAAAGTTAAACTCGATGCACCTGATGTTATTTGTGTCGGTGGCACAAGTGAAATGGGTGTAGATTTCTTTCTGACCGTCTTTTCGATGGTTGAGATTTTCAAATTGAGCCTGCACGTAAGCGGCTGCCTCTTCATAAGAATTAGCCTAAAACATGATCAGTCTAGGTAGAATGCATAAGTAGAAAGTTGCACTTAATACCAAACAAACTTACGCCAGAATATTCGGGAAAGCATATAGTAAGGGGGCTCTTCTTGATCTTCTCCTCGAAAATATCTTTCTTGTTGAGAAATAAGATGATCGATGTCTCGCTGAACCACTTGTTGTTGCAGATTGAATCGAAGAGCTTCATTGACTCGATCATTCGATTCTGAAGAAATAGAATTTTAAAGTAGAGCACCTTACACGTTTATAAAACACTTAAACTGACCATCTCGTCGTCTTCCGCCAATACCATATCGTATTCACTCATAGCCACACAGAAAATAATGGCAGTGACAGCCTCAAAGCAATGAATCCATTTCTTTCTTTCTGAACGCTGACCACCGACATCAAACATTCTAAAAAGAACAATTACGCACCAAACATAAAATTTACTTGAAATGAAGATCTTTGTACGTGAAGTGGGTTTCAACGATCCCCGTTGTCTTGACTCGTGTGCGTAAAACGTCATCTTGTGATGGTACATAGTCAGGCTAAAGCATTTGTCTTTAATCTAAGTTCATAATGAGGGACTGTGAAAGCTTTACTATATTAATGAACACACCTGTGAAATACGATCCAAATTGTTGAGGTAATAAGAAGCCGAATCGTTGAGTTGATATTCGCGTGAGCGCATAAAACATTGTTGAACGCCTGCATCATGCCATAATCGCTTCATTGCCATTGCCAATTCTGGTGAAAGTTCTCCCTCATCGCAAGTCTAAAATATTACATTGCATAAAAGTCAACAAGTTCTAAACCTTACCTGTGAAAGAGTGAAAAATTGTCGCAAATCAGTGCCACGGTTTAGATCAGCAAACTCGATTTTCAATTGATTCATTGCACGAAGTATTGCTGCCATTGACTAAATTTTTGAATTATAGACATAAAGTCGTTAACGAATCACCTGCACACTGTTACTAAACACGACTGGTCGATACTGTTTTCGCTCCTCATCCGTGTAGCCTGTTTCATGAATGATTTTCATCTGTTTCACAATGGTACTTTTGCCTAAAAAGAAAAATAAGAAAAACCAACAAATTAAATAAAGTACCCGATTCACCAGCACCCAGCAACAACAGTTTTACTTCTCTTGATTGTCGTTCATGATCGGCTTTCAACTAAAATCACTTGTTAAAAACGATTTTAAATATCTATTTGACATTTTGTAAGCATGGAAAAAAACTATCTTTAGTCCTTGAAAATTATCAATTATAAATCATAAAGTTTACCTGTTCGTCGATGTATTTCGAGCGCTTCTTTGCGTTGGTCTGGTCGGTCGAATTGACGCATCCCATCGCGAACTAAAAAATAAAGATATTAAAGGTTTGGCAAAAAAACAAATGAAGCAGAATTAAAAATATGTCTATACAATTATAGTCGTCGATTATGAAAAGGTGGAGGTGAGAACACGAAAATGATAACAAGGGAACGGGGTCAACGCCACAGGAGGAAAACCCTCGATTCTTCCAAAATCCCACTAGTTCCCTTTTCGGACACACCACAGAAATTTGAATGCGCGTGCGGCGGGAAACCCCTTTCCCCCTCGGTGAGCCACAAAAGGTGAACGGAAAAGAAGAGAAAAGCGGGGGTGAATGAGACTTGTGAACGGATGGAAATGGAAAAGGAGCCTCCTTTGAATGAATGGGTGAGGAAGAGTAGGGAAAATTGTGAGAGGCAAAGAAAATGGGTGAGAGTGAAAGAGAGAGGGGCAACGGCAGATCGATCACACCGCCACCAAACAGACGCACCGAGACTAAATGCATTTTCGTAGACTCTGCCGACACTCTTCTCGAAAAGCAAATGAGCAAAAGCTTTACCCTATATTACCCTCTCATTAACTCACAAACCCCCTTTCCCCAATACATGAATATACGGGCTACTTGAAAAAGTAATAACACAGAGGTAGTGTTTTTGTACGAGCTCGCCTGAAAAAAGCTCTGCCGTTTTCGAGCACTTGAAGCTATAAATAGGCATTTTTAAAGTTTTATCTTGGCAAATTGAAGGATCAATTGAATAGCAGAATCTCTTAACTTTGGAATTCTTATATTTAAACTTTGTTTTCAAAGTTGTTCTCTGGTCTTTCGGGAATGGGACAAATATTAGCCAATTGCTATTCCAAAAGTTGTTTTTCTGGGTAATTATAGAGCCTAGAATCCAAATTTTGCCATATCAGAGCTTGTGGAAGCAAACGGACGGAGTTATACATAGGAAAAAAATCGACAATTTTCCGTAATTTGACCTACCTGTTTTATCTTTCAAATTACTTTCACAAGCTCTGATATGTCAAAATTTGGATGCCCTAAAATTACTCAAAAAAAAACAATTTTTGGAATAGAAATTGGTTAATACTAGCTTTTTAAAACGCGAAAAAAGTTGCGCTAATGGGCGGGGTGCGCAAGTATCCCGAGTGCGCAAAAAAAGTCGCATTTGTCCCACTCCCGGGCTTTCAACGTTTTAAAACGTTTCAGAAGTCTTCTAACTACGTTAAGCTAAAATCATAGATCAAAAGGAGAAAAAATTAGAGCCAAAAGACTTTTCGTCGTAAACCCTCTATTTACTTCGGTAAACACACAAAAACATGGGTAGAAGGAAGTATTTGTGAAAAGGGAAGGGGAATGTTGAGAAGAAAATCGATAATGAAGCTAATCAAAAAAAAAAACTTGAGACTCTAAAAATATCGCTAGCAAAATGAGTATTTGACCGGGGTGATGGGATTCAAAGAAATGACTCTATAAAAGGAGAGAATCATGATTGTAATTTACTGCAAGTGCTTGGACAAATGGGGGATTCACACTAAATGAATTCCACATCCCAAAAACAAGCATTTAAAAGCATTAATCTCAAACGTCGAGTGGGTGGAATTGGAAGCGAAAAAGAATGGGTCGATTAAGGAAATTGAGAGGAAAAAATGAGGTTGAAGGGAGTGACATTGCCCATAAAGAAAACACTTTTTTTGGGGTGGGTCACAAGAAATGAAATGCATTGGAGTCGTTTCAAGTCGTCTTGTTTACAAATTAGTTGATGGTGTGACGCATGAGTTGATGTGTACAGTTTTACCAATAGAGTAAAGATGTCAAAGTACTGACCAGAAAGGGAAAACGTTCCGATACATAGAATATAAATAATATAAATAAAGTTTTTAAGCGGATAAAACTTCGGTCATTCTTTAGAAAGACGAAAAAAAAATCTGTCATTAACGATATTAAGTGATCAAAGAAAAGTGAATGAGTGAGTAAGTGAGAGGAGATCGTTTTTGGCATTGCCCTTCCTTTTCCTTTCCTTTTCCTTTCTCTTTCATTGCCTTTTATTTCTTCGGCTTCTCTTCTATTCACCAAGGATGTGATGGGTGATGAACCGGTTGTTTGTGAACGAGGGAAAGAATGAAGAAATATCCACCCACCACACAGCAATGAAATAGATGAGAGAAAGAAAAAACAACCCAAGTATTCAACCATTCCACTCAAGAATCAAATGTCATTGGATTGCAGCCAGGAGTAGTGGATTAATCGCGAACATACTCTAATCATAAGTAGTTCTTTTCGATGATAATCTCGACCTTTTCTGGTAGAGGTTATCATCGAAAGGAACTACTTATGATTAGAGTATGTTTGCGATTAATACGTTTTTCTAAAACGCGCCCCCGAGAAAAAGTATAGTAAGTCCGTCGAGGAAACATGTAAAATTCAATATATGCAAATTTTTAAAAGAAAAACCATTCTTTAACCGAGAACAAAATAAGACAAAACTTATAAAATATAAAAAATAAGCGTAAAATTTTGTCACAGTCTTTAATACCTTAATTTAACTTACAAAGGAATATCAACAGGGTGTGGTGGTCAAATGACATGACTAACCGACGTAGAATACACTAACCGAGCCATACAATAACCGACGTAGAATTTTGTGCCCATTCCTAATCTGCTTTCCGTTTTTGCAACGCAGCACTCTGTCAAAAGTTATAAGCGCTGGGTTGGGGAGAATGAGTCGGCGCCGAAAATCAAAGAAATTTCTAAAACTTATAGCAGACTTTGTCAAATGATATGCGTTTGATATCCGTAGAAGGGTAACTAATTCTCTACAAAATAATATTTAAAAGAGAACTCAAACAGCGCCTCAACTCAACAAAGGACCATTTGTTCACAAAATCGATAAACTGTCATCTAGAGTAAACGGTTGGAGGGATCTTCCTGAAAATTTGGTAACTTATGTAATTGAGTGTGCTCTATCTTTTTTATATAAACACCAAAGGAGGTTTATGTGGAAGAAACTATTCAAGCAATGAGTCGGACTTTTTGTCATTTTGATTAGCTGTGTTTGGGAATCAATAAAATCCCAAAAAAGAAAAGCTTTGTGGAATCTCTCAAAAGCCATTTTGTAAAGAAATAGTCGACCATTTTGATGAAACAAAACGTGTATTTAAAGAAGGTTTTATGGGTGCAAAAAGTTTCTTTAAATTTCGGCGCCGACTCATTCTCCCCAACCCAATAGATCTTGTGTTTATAAGTTGACTTATCAAAGATAAAGATGTCGTGGTGGCCGAGCGGCGGTAGGGTTGATTACAAAGCAACGACTCTAGGGTTTGTGTTCGTCGTCTGACTTTGTTTTTGCTTCTTTTAGCTTTAAATGCTTTGATTGTTTTTCGTTTCAAGTACAAATTTATTTGAATCTAATCATAAAATATTTACTTTTAACGATAAACAACAATCAGTAACAAAAAAAATTAGAAAAATAACAAAAGTTCAACATTATTGACATTCGTCGATGAAATGGGAAAAATATAAATTCATATAACAACGGGTAAAGACATAAAAAAATACACAGTTTGTATCCTCACAAGGGACAACTTCAAATTTAAAACAAATATTGTTTGGAGTCTCGAATGAAACTCGAATGGAACTAGCGGAGTATCTGGGTAGCCAACTTTTATTCAAGAATATCAACGAAGAGCCAGAAAGCATGATGCACCCATTTGAGAATGCACAACAGAGACGATCTTGATCAGTGAATCTCTGTGAATTGAAAAATCGACATCGTTACCAATAACATGGCTCACTAGCCTTTTAATTGTTCACCAGTTGTTTTACCGGGCGAAAGAAGAAAACATCAGACTGTATCATGTTCATCGTTCCAGGAGATACAGTACTGGACAATGAAATGTCCTATTTGAAAAACGATCGTCACTTTCGCGCGTCTGTAACTCCCTTGTCTTTGAGTTTAAACTATTAGTGTTATACATTTTCTGAAAGCTCTTTTCAAGGGCTACACAATGGTAATATTAATATTTAGAAATACGGTAAAGACAAGGGAGTTACAGACGCGCGAAAGTGACGATGGTTTTTCAAATATGATATTTCATTGTCGAGTAGTGTATGTTCTCTATTCCAGGAGATATGCAAACTATATCCTTGAGGTAATGTTTGTTAAATGAATTCGATGAATCTAAAAGCAATGTGCATTTCCGGCACAAGCTATTTCCTCTATGAATTTTGCGACAGAGTCTTCATCATGATGTGGGTGTGTGTTTGATGTGTGTTTGAGTGTTTGATATGGTGCGCTTGAAAGATTGTATCCAACTTGGACTTTCCTTGAAGGTTTCTAGAGGAGTTTGTAGAGATCGATTAATGCGAATAACCATTTGCCGCAATTCGTGGTCTTGTAAAGATACTCAATTCTTTAGTTTCTCCCTCACATCAACTTCCAAAATCTCTCGGATTTTCTTTAAATGTGACAGTTTGTTAACTTTTAAAGTTTGACTCTTTTCATAAACACGTATCATAATTCATGCGATTTTCCGTCTTTATTCAACGATACCTGGCAGCCATACTACTCAAAAGTCGAGCTCCTTTTTTGACTTGATCTCTAATGAGCAATCGCTGCTTGAAGTTCATTTGATGACACAAGAGTTTTATCAAAATTGATTAGTGAATCGGCTGAAACTGTTGATTGTGGGTGAAGAGTCGTCGCCGGTCCATTGTTCATCTTCTGTGCTCGCATCACTATCATTTCCATGCTCTTTGTCACTTTCAATGAACAGCTCTCCATATTTGGCATCGTTAATGATTCGTGCAAAAGAATCAGCTAATTTTGGTTCTTATGATTGTTGCAGACGATTCTTTGCTTCGTAATCAAGTCGACTGCCGCTCGGCCACCACGACATCTTTATCTTTGGTAAGTCAACTTATAAACACAAGATCTATTTTCTGCGATTCCGTACAAAACTTTGAGCGCTTATAACTTTTGATAGAGTGCTGCGTTGCAAAAACGGAAAGCAGATTAGGAATGGGCACAAAATTCTACGTCGGTTAGTGTATGGCTTATGTCATTTGGCCACCACATCATGTTGATATTCCCTTGTTGACTGAAAAGCTGATCAATGCGCATTAATTGACGATTAATTGATTAAAATCGTCCAATTTTAATCAATTTGATCGCGGGGAAAAAAACATGTGAAATTCATTTGAGGCCCTCATTCAATCATTTCTCAATTAATTTGTAATCGGATAACGATTTCGCTCAAAGCTAATGAAACACCGTTCACTGTGCTACGGTACTCTTGCTCGTTTTAGCTCTTTCATATGGTTATTTTATCTTCAAAACTCCCCTCAAACATTTTCCCGCTCAAAAATCCCCTATTTTATCGTTTATGCTAAAGGCGAGACTGTAAGGATCAGCAATTATCAGGGAAAAATTCAAGAAAATTAAATTTATGGTTGTCAAAGATCATAATCTACAATTTGTTTGCTTTAGAACTGAAAAATGAAAGAACAATAAACCTAAAGAAGCTTTTTAACAAAACTAGCTTGTAAGATGTTATTCTTTTTTTATCATTATTCATTTGCTCACTTCGGTTAAACCCAATTCCCATTTAACATTAGATACTGTAGACGCATAATAGATCGGTTTTGTCATCGCTTTCCTCTCATCATTTATTGTAGCTGTAATCAGAGAGTGTCCTCTTTTGTTTCCCTATTCAGCCTGTCCACCGCCTCCATATGGTGAAGCATATGGAGGCGTTTCTCTTATGAATTCATCCGGAAGATGGAATCCAAACCTCTCCTCATCTCAACCGAAAACAAAAAGAGTATGAACAAAGAAGAAAGAGGAAGAGGAAGAAAGAGCAAACTTGAAAATCATGTCCTTCATATGGTCTGATACCTAGAAAAGAACAAAGAATAACATGTGTTTTGCGTCTTTTCCTCTTTTCTCTTTTGAACACAAATCTATAAACAATGTCATTTTGCCGATTTTTTTTTTCCAAAGTTTACATGTAAACGGCTATTATTAGTTGTTGAAAAATACGAAAGATTTCAAAATCCGAAATGGGAATGCGATAAGAAAGCTTTAAATTGTAAAAAAATTACAATTTAATCCACTAACAAGTCTACTAATCAAAGTTCTTTCTAGGAAATTGTATTGAATTCAGTCTTTCTAATGCATAGGCCCAAGAATTCCATAGTGAGTTGATGGAATTACATTTGTGCAGTACTTGCTGCTCGATACTGGATGAAAGTGTATCACACTTGTGCAGTACTTGCTGCTCGATACTGGATAAAATTTCTGTATCATAGTGTTACAATACTATAGTTAAGCTACTTTATTTAAGATTTTGAATCTTTTTGAATCATCTTTTTAAATCATCTTTTTGAATCATCTTTCTCCCCTTCTACAAAACTTCTTCTTCATCCAGTTCTTCTTCATTTCTTTTTCAAAAAGTAGATAATTGTGTCTGTTTCAGGAAGAGGATAGATGGGATTGGTGTCCGTTTTGAAGTGCCTTCAAATAGGGGAATACACTTTAAGCAGAAGGTTGGGAGAAATGTGTTCAGATGGGGATCGGTCGGGGGACATAGAGGGAAAGGATAAATGAGTGAGATGAGTGGGTCTTCATTTTTTTTCCCCGCTTTGTGGTCCCACCCATTATTTTCTCTTCTATGCGAGGGTAATGACCTCGACGAAGCATCCACATATGAAAATGACCCTCTGATGGGTGGAGGTAATTCTTTTTCTCCGCCATTCGTAGCTAAATACCGACATCAAAGAGCGATACGATAACTTTTCGGATGAATGGCCCTTGTTTATGCTATTGTTCGTTTCTTACTTTAACTTATACTATTGTTAAATATGATTAGTTCTATTTTAAGATCAGTTCTCCTTAAGATTAGTTCTCCTTAAGATTAGTTCTCCTTAAGATCAGCTCTACTCAAAGCTCAGCTCTATTCAAAGCTCAGCTCTATTCAAAGCTTAGCTCTATTCAAAGCTTAGCTCTATTCAAAGCTTAGCTCTATTCAAAGCTCAGCTCTATTCAAAGCTTAGCTCTATTCAAAGCTTAACTCTAAACATTTTTTCATAGATTTTTGATTACATAGGTTTGTATAACGTGTAAAAGAGTATGATACAAGTTCAGGCTCAAAGTTACGGTACTTTTTAGCATCTACTACATAGTACTTACTGTCAAATATCTAGTTTCTTGTCAATAGTAAGCTACAGTACTACTACTGGTACTGTATCTGATCTTCACCAGGTCATCCATCTTAATTTTAAAACTCGACCTTGTACTCTGAACCCTTTGTGATATTTTATGTTCTTTTTTCCAATAGCAATCCAAATTCTCGACATACTTGCCAATGGGGAGAAGATATAGAGGAGAGGGGTAGATTGGTGTCATGAAGGAGAAAAGAGAGACAAAGAGATATCCCCAAGAGGGTCACCCATCGCGCGATTCGAACGGTGCCCGTTCATCCACCCATCTCCCCCATCCACCAACAGATTCCCTTCATAGCCGCAGGGTTTTGTGTTCACTCCTCGTTGAAAAGTGGGCGTGTCCATCCATTCCTCCTCCACCCCTCCACCCCTCCGCATCCCTCCCTCTCCCCCCACAACTGCCAGAGGCGATCCCCGGGGTCACTCCACCCCTTCCTGTACCTACTCCACCCCTTTCACATCTGCCATCGTAATCCTCAATCCAGTCCACTTCTTTGCCCCTTTTTTCTGACCTGACCTTGGCCCTCACCCAAGCGCATTATTTTGCGACCCCATTCTCGCACCTATCCGAGTACTCTCCCTCCATCTCTTTCCTTCTTTTTTTCCACTTTTCAAACAATAGATCACAATTGTTTACTGTATTTTTGGTTTTGCTTTTTCTTCTTTTTTTCCCCTTCTCAATCCAACTTTTTCATTTCAGAATTTCAACAATGGCTTCCGACGGAGAGAAGGTTGAATTGGAGGCTGTGCCCCTCAAATCCGACACTGACGCTCCAGCTGAGCCTGAGACCAAGACTGTGGGTTTTTCGAGCTTAGCAAAAGAAAAAACAAAAATGAAACCCTTGATCTTCTCAAAAATCAATTTCCCGTTATTTCAGGAGGCTCCAGTTGCCCCAAAGAAGACATGGTTCTTCTCGAAGAAAACCACGAAGAAAACCGAGGAAAACGAGGAGAAATCGGCTGAAGAAGGGACTGCTGGAGAGGAGAAAAAGGTAAAGGGAAAGAAATGAAAGAAATGAAATGAAAGAAATGAAAGAAATGAAAGAAGCCAATCAAGCCACAATGGCTTTAAATTAATTCTAGAGGCGGGGAATGAGAAATGAATCGAATGTTCTTTTACAGGAATGCTGCAAGAAGAAGTGTTGGTGGCGTCGCGAGAAAGGAGAGAAAAGTGAAGATCAACAGAAAGCAGAACATATCTCGATTGGGATCAATTTGGTGGACAGAGATGAGAAGCAAATCAATGATCACGTCAAGGTGAGTAGATAAAGGCTTTGATTAGGTTATGGGATTACAGTACTTATATCTTTGATTAGGCATTGGGATAACAGTTGTTGTCATTTAGAAGAGTTAAAGTCTAATAGAAAGTTGTAAAGATCCTTAGGATCCTATTCTTTTCCATTAAAATTTTTTTCTAAAGCATCTTTCAAAAAAAACTCAAAAAGCTATATTGTCTAATTCTTCTCTAATCTATCGTCTTACTTGTCAATGGGGAAAAGATATAGAGGAGATGGGTAGATTGGTGTCATGAAGGAGAAAAGAGAGACAGAGAGATATCCCCAAGCAAACCCACAGAATACAATAGTGTCTAAAACTGAAATCAGTACTTTCCAGTACTAATTACGGTACTTTTTCGTCTGTAAAGCCGTCTGCAATCCGTCTATACAGTATTGACCTATAAAGTTATCCAACTAACAATCCCTCAATTTCCCCTCTTTAATTTTTCCCATTCTATCAGGAAATTCCCCATCGATTCCCCTCTCGTTCATTCATTTCCTGTCTAGAAAATGGCTTGCTTGATGCCTCGTTTAATTTTTGTGCCCTGACAGATCGAAAGAAAGGTTTCCTTTCTCTTCCTTTCTCTTCCTTTCTCTTCTTTTCTCTTCTTTTCTCTTCTTTTCTTCAATTTCCGTTACCTCTTCTTCCCCTTTCAATTTCAATTCAAAAAAAAGGTTCACTCATTTATTCATCAATGAAATCTTGTATTTGAAAGCGATTGAAAAGAATTCGGGCATTTCGAAACAATATGCATTTTGAATTCCCGAAATCTCTTCCTCAAAAGTCGAGGTGAAATAATCGGTGTGCTTTGTCAATGGAAACAAACCAAAAATAAGCAAAAGCCAAAATTTCAGTTCGGTTTCGAGGATATCTTTGGCGAGGCTGACTCGGCTCATTCATGGGATTGCATTTGGCGTTTAGTCTACCGAATCTTCACATGGACTCGTCTTTTCGTCTATCGTTTGGGTGAGTTGAATAGCTGAATAACTCTAAAAACCTGTAGTATCTATAATTAGTAGATATCTAGATACAAAATATTGAATGTTAGAGTCACCTGTGTCTTCTTGAAAGGCTTCGAATGTTTGTCTTTGAAACTGAGCAACATTCACTTGCTATACCCCATTTTAGCACTCTTAAGAACCTAGCAGTTAATTCTAAGAATACATCTTGCATGAGTTCTCATAGACACTGAATTTCCTCAAATTCTAGGTGCTCTTTTGATCGGTATCCCAGCGGCAATCGTGTTCGGCATTCTTTTCGCGCTTTTCACTGTTCTCAACGTGTTCGCCTGTGTGCCACTGGGCAAATTGTTGACCATTCCAGCTACTTGGATTGCTAAGGTGAGTACATAGAGCTGAAAAGTATCAAAAACAAAACCACAATATATCAAAAGACATTTTTAGACTTGGAAGTTCATCATCGAAGCTATTTTGGACCCAGTTCACCGTTCGATTGGACTCGTCTGGTCAAGGGTTTGTCTTTTTTAGCTTGAATAGCTTGAATAACTTCAATAGCTTGAATAGCTTGAATAGCTTGAATAGCTTGAATAGCTTGAATAGCTTGAATAGCTCAATAACTTCAATAGCTTCAATAGCTTCAATTTACAATTTCAATACAAATAAAGCATTCAACGAATTAAGTATGACTTTTAAATGACTCTAAATACGAATCTTCATCTCCAGATCACCACCCGAACCTACGGAATCAACTCTCAGCCAACCGACATGGCGATCGCCTAAATGAAATATCCCTCGTAATTACCTTTAATAGAAATGTTCTCCTGTAGGGATTACGGTGATTCTTCCCGCTTAACCCATTGTCTCCAATTTCAAACACAGCCGCTTTCAAGTGCTTTCAAATTTTTGTGTGTAAAAGTATGCTAATTTATAAAAAAAATCTCCACCACTTTCCCTTATTCAAATAACAAGATTTACATGGGTAGTCACGCCACCGTTTCCTTCTCTTTTCTGTTGAGATTCTCACTTTCCTTCCCCTCTATCAATTCATTTCTCATCGACCCTTCCGAAGATCTTTATTTTCTCTAATTTCTTTAACTCTTGATGTTTTTTTCTAATTTATGAAGTGAATTTTGATAAATTTGTTTTATTTATTCAAATTTCAATTAGCACAATGATATCAATGAGCTCAAAAAAAAGCCGCTAATTTGATAAGAGTTCAAGAAGAGAAAAGCGGTATCATTTAATTCATTAGAGAGATGCAGAAATCATGTGCATTCTTCTATTTACTGTTTGTTCCAAAGATAGATAAAAGGAGACTCGTTGCATATTTGCGTAAATAGTTGCTCCCGGGGTGAGTCAAAAATTTTGTGGAAGAGGGGGGTGAGTGGGTTGCGTGAGGACGCGATGGGTCTCTCATTTGTATTCGAAGCACAACCCTCTCCCCCCAGTGACCCTTTTTGGTTGTAGAAAGAAAAGAGAAAATAAAGACTGGAACAGTGCCAATAGGCAATGGTACTCAACACGAGAAAATAAGGATTCAAGAGATGGGAAAAAAGGGAACGAGAGAGAATCAGTGGGTGATGAATGTATAAAGAGAAGAGAAAGAAAGAGGGGCACATAATTACAAGAATTTGGCAACCCGAAACCCCAGCGAGAGTACAATGAGTGAAGAGAGAAATATCACATCGAAAGAGAACCATCGGGTCATCGAGTACCTCCAACCCCACCCATCCACCGGCAGAAAATCGCCTCTAATTGCATACCATGGCTACTCTAGTCTTACGCGTTTTGTCGTTGACCAAATTCAAATGAGTGATCTCTCATCTGTATTATGTATTTTAAAAAATAGTTTATTCGCTAAATCATGTATAAAATAAAACTTTAACAAACGTCAACAATAACTGAGAATTAAAACGAAATTTTTAAAAGTGAAACCTCGTTGGAGTGCATTCATTTGAAGTCATTTATCCCAGCATCAATTTCATTTTGCTCAACATCATTTCTCGCTGTGAAGGCGTCATCATCACTTTCTAAAATGTAATTTCAGTAACAGTCAATTTTAGCATATAAAACTTATTTACAAATATTGCTCACATTCTCATAATCTGCATAGCTAAATAATGTCAAACAATATTTTATATCAAATCCGCTAGCAGCTGTCTTTGTTTCGTTTTTACAACCGAGCAACTGTTGGACAGTAACGGGATATGGTCAAAGGATACGCGCGACAATATTTGCAAGCGACCACTCATCGCCCTTCCTTTCCCCAACAAACACCACAAGTGAGAGAAATATTCGGAAAACTGGCAACACCCCTTGGTCAGTCTATTTGCCGGCTTCCGCGCTTCCTCTCTCATTTATATATGATTGAAAAAGTCGTGGGGTAATTTGATACATTTTCATTGCCTGTATTCACCATTCTCTCTGTGCTTGAGAGCATAGGCGATGAAACGGATGGATTTGATGTGAGTCCTCAATAATTATCCCCTCATCCCCATCAAAAGTTCTGGATGCAACACCGATCCTCACCGAATCGACAGTATGGAAAGTTCTAGTGCTTGCTAGTTGTGCTAGTTGGGTGAACTCAATCACCCTTGTAAAAAGTTCGCCCTCTTATAGCCCCAATAAGCGTGATATGTGTAAAGAGCTAGTTACTATGGAAAATTTGTGAATATGGGGAATCCTTCCTTCCGCAAGAGCGATTCATCATCGGCTAATTATACCTATTCGACATCTGCTCTGAGTTCCAAGAATACAAAAAGATGACTTTGCAAAATTTGCAAATGAATACAATCTGGCAGGGGCGATCTATCTGCTGAGTCTTCTCCCACAAATCCCTCATTTGTTAATCCCCTCTCTTTCACCACACAAGAATGGTTGTGTCCGTTTGGTTATGTCCTTCAACATAAGAAAGTTGAACGGATTGTGACCGAGTCTGTCTCTCAAGTACCCTTATGTGCCCCACTTTATAATGACGCGACCCCCGCGAGATATTCAAGAGTCACACATCGGAATCTTATCCACCTCTACCAGGGAAAAGTTTGCATTATAGCTGTTATTCAAAATGGAACTTTCAAAAATTTCAAAAATACCTCGGTAGACATGATCACATTGAGTGTATTGGCAAAACCATTGCGATGTTCGGTCGATAGAAGATTGAGCAAATTAATACGACGATCATAAAGTGCTTGTAAAACACCCGGCAAACGAACACCCGCCGTTTTGATAGTCTAAATTTTCATCAAGATTGTGGTGCAAAAAGGTGAAACCAACTCCCATTCTTTCCTTTTTCCGTCTTTCTCGTCTCCGATGTCGACTTCCTTGTCCGTCAGCATCGTCATCCGATTCAGAAGAGCTTGATGAAGATGATGTTGAGGCCTAGTCAAAATTTTTATCAAAACAGAAATGATAACCAACTTTCAAACGTTTAGCCTTTGTTTTCCTCTCTTCCCCACTATCCACTTCTCCTTCTTCAAGCTATAAAAAGTGTAAGTGATTGTTATCTAAGCCTTTCATACCACTTTTGCCTCTGTCTTTGTTTCTTCTTGAGCTTCTGCCTGTGTCATCATTTCCAATTTTTCAGCCTTTTTGGCTTTCCGGCGTGCCTTTGCTGCCATTCTTTTCGTATACCTAGAAATGGCTAAAACTAAATAAGAAAAAACGCCACTTTTGTTTTTCCCATTCTTCCTGGGACATTGGTGGAGCGGCCGGAGGTTGAGGCGGTTGATAGACAGTAAGACCATCACTAAGAAAAGTTATTATAATACTTTCAGCTATTGAAACCTTTTATTGAACTTGGCCCAAGAATCAAAACTGAGTTGTTCTCCTCCAATTTTAATCGTTCCATCATCATCTTCATCAATACTAACTTCTCCTTGATCAGTCATAATTCTGAAATTCCAATTTGATAAAACGATTACATAAAAAGCTTACGTTCTAGCTTGCTGCAAAGCCATTCCAATACCAAAAGATTGTTTCAATTCTTTTCTATTTGCCTAAAATGATGTCAGAAATATTTGTCAAATTGTAAAACCGGTCGTTTCCGTTTTGAAACCATTTCTCGAGGAGGTGCCAATGTGCGAGATTGAAGTTTGATGCGAGTCGGACGCTCATAAAGCATCGAACTGACCACTTCTTTTTTCCAGAGTCTAAACATAAATTTATAAATTTACTGTTTTCTTAAAAGCCTAAACCAAACCTGCGCTCAATTTTATGATTGTTACTATTTAATCAGCGTCATTGCAGTAAAAATTACATACTTTATCAAAAGCTCCAAGTGTTGTCGCATCCATCCTTGCCCTTCACCCGATAGACGCTGCTCAAGGTATTTCAAAAGACAAGGCTTTAGAAGGGAGTCGGGCAGTCCTCCATAAAGAGCCGAGATCTCGTCTAGCTCCTAAAATTTATTATTTGATAATATTTAACATTGACATACAGGGTAAATATCCTCGGGCCCATTCCAATCAGAGAAGTTGATCCTTTTGTTGTGGATTAGCTAGACTCTTTTTTTAGTACTAGTAAGCCTTATTTAAAATACTTGATCGATTGAGGTAACAACATCATCCTCGTTAATTTCAATCTCTACTGAGGTCGTTTGTTCTTGATTTTCCTCATCACCAACATCTTCAAACTTCGCACTTTCTTCCTCGAGCGGTTGTTCTTGCTGTTTTTCCTAAAAATACGTTATAGAGAAGCAAAATCTAATAAAAATCTAGGGTTCGAAAAGCAAAACTTAACAATAACCTTGTTTTTAGCATCAGCTTCGAACTCAATCTCTTGTAGAATCTTTAATTTGGCACTATTGAGCATGAAAGTGTTGTATTCATCCCAGAAAAAGGCTCTAAATTATTTAATTAAAAAATGATTTTAAAAACTTTACTTCAAAGCGCATTCATGTTCCCCATTATCGATCACAAATCCATCTACATCATCACAAGCCGTTTGAGCAGCCTCTGGTGAAAGAAAAACTATCTAAATTGTAAAGTAAAAATTCTTTTTCTACATTCTTTTCAGTACGCCCAACCGAGATAGAATACTAATATTTCTTTATTCACCTTTGCTTGTTTCTCATCTTCATCGAGAATAGGTAGAAACGTACAACTTTCCATTTGATCAACACCTAATTAGAAAAGATTAAAGAACAAACTTAATGCTCACCAAAAATGCTAGACATAAAGTCGTCCTCTGTGTCGAGAGGAAGATGAAAGATAAAAAGTGTTCTCTTCAGCAACTCATCTTCGGGACTCATAAACCGTGCTTTCAAAATGAGATTTGTTGAGTCTAAATGAAATAATTGAAAAATGGTAAATTAAACAAACAAAAATCCAGAGCAGCTTCGACCTCAAGTGGTTTTTCATAAATACGTATAGTGTTGGCAAGCTAAAGTTAATATATTTTCAAGTAACCAATAAATTAAACCTTATAAGCACGAATTGCGCTATCATTATCGGGAAAAATAAGAGAAAGCACTCCACGTTTTCCACCACTGACGCCTGGTTGAAATTCGGCAACAAACTTTTCAGCACTTGTGAGCATATCGAAAAGCTAAACCGTTTAATAATAATGTATTTGTTATTTATTAAAACACAAATGCTTGATCTTAATATTAAATACAATTCATAAAATTTGTTCAAACCTCATCCGATTTTCGCCATCCTGGATGTTTTAATCCTTTGATGCGAAATGATCTTCTTGAAAGCCCTTCTGACTTTGAAATCTAAAACATTGTGATAAAAATATCTTGAAAGAAACAAAAACCTCTCCATTTTGTAAAACATGTGTCGCTCCAGCTTCTAAAAACAACAAAGTTAGTCAAATAATATTTTTGGAAATAAAATCATAGAAAAGAACGCGCACCTGGTTGATCCAAAGCGTTTTCTTTAGTTGGTGATCCACCATTTTGCACCTAAACAAAAGGATAAAATGTATCATAAACCATCTTCAGAATATTTCTATGACAAAATTGGGGAATAAAAAGAAGCAAAGATCCATTTTGTGAAATGCGCACCAATTCTTCAATCCTCGTCGTTGAGTCGCCCATTTCTAGGCAAACCTGAAAGTAGAAAATATTAAAAATCAGCAATATTGGTGGAAGGGTTGCAAAAATGAGGATAAAAGGCAACATTTAAGGCAAACATTTTTAAGGTTATCAACGTTAAATATCGCTTGTGTCAACAAATTTCGTCTTTTGTCTCAATTGTCGAAAATTTTATTGCAAAAAAAAAGTGCATTTTGTACATAAAACAATGCAAACGGTTGAAGAAAGAAGAGAAAAAAGGCATAACAAAAAAATCTCTTTGGTTGCAGTATCACTATTTACATCGATTTTAAATTAAATAGGGCTTAGTTTTTCAATTATAAAAATTAAAATGATAATTACAAATCAGATCTATAAAACGAAACCGTGTGAATCTCAAACAAATTGGGTTTTAGGCTGGGATCGGTTTTTATTTTTGCTTTTGAAACTTTTAAACAGTTTTTCCACAGTGAGCTTTAAGCTTTAACGCTTTAAGCTTTAACGCTTTAAGCTTTAACGCTTTAAGCTTTAACGCTTTAAGCTTTAACGCTTTAAGCTTTAACGCTTTAAGCTTTAACGCTTTAAGCTTTAACGCTTTAAGCTTTAACGCTTTAAGCTTTAACGCTTTAAGCTTTAACGCTTTAAGCTTTAACGCTTTAAGCTTTAACGCTTTAAGCTTTAACGCTTTAAGCTTTAACGCTTTAAGCTTTAACGCTTTAAGCTAAAAGCTTTAGCGGGCCTTTTTTTTAACAAAAAATATGTTTGAAAAGTTGTTGTTATTAGAATTTAATCATTTTTGTTCATAGTTCAGTCTATAAAATATTAGGTTTTCTTTCCGTTTCCCCTCCATTTGAGAAGTTTTGGATTGAGAAGAAGTGAAGGTTTTTTCGCCTTTTTCTCGCTCAAATCATCGAGTTGACGAGTGGAGATTGTCGACTGAAAGATTGGAATTTTTCTGACTCAAATCCAGTTATTATTTGGCTCGTTTTTAGAAAAATTCTTGGTAGTATTGGCTTTAGGGGGCGGCCACTTTTCTTTTCACCCAAACCACTTTTCCCAGGGTAATTGATGACGCTGAGCACGAATATGACATTTGTTAGTGTAGATTTTTAATAAAAAAAAAACGCAATTTTTAGAATTTTTAAGATTTTGCAAAAATAAGGTATTTTGAGAATGAATCTTCGTGAATCCGGTGAACGGATCACAATGTCGAATCTCTTTGGTATCAATTTAAAAAAATAAGCGATATCATGGCCTCAACTGCCGATCAAATGATCTTCAAATCCAGATTTCCTTCAGGAATTTATTTAATGGAATCTTTTGTAATTTGCTATTGTTGTTAATTTGTTAGATTTAGATAACAGTCAATCAAAAAGCGCGCAACCACGGCAACAGTAAGCCCGAAAAGTAAGCCAAAATTGGCATTTTAAAATGCACAAAATTCCTTATTTTTGCAAAATTTTTAAATTTTGCGTTTTTGATTAAAAATCTACCCTAAAAATGTCAATTACCCCGGAAAAAGTGGTTTTGGCGAAAAAAAAAGTGCCCCCCAATAGTAGTAGCCAATAGTACCCAATTCTCCTCATGATCAACCCTTTTCATTCACTCACAATCGCATCATCTCTTTTCGGATCGATCAAATCGAGATCAAACACTGTGTCCCGCACATCCTCATCGATTATCCCTAAAACTTTTCACTGTTTCCTCACTCATATTATTCAATTACCCAATCTCACACAAATCTCGTCAATTCCAATTGTTTGTCGATCTGTCATCGATCTCAACAAATCGATCACCATCCATGACCAATAACGACGATAACTGAAATGATTTTCTGTTTAGAATTCTTCACTTTTAAACCTTGCCAATCCAAGTTCAGATAGCGGCTTTTCCGGTCCAGCTATCAGTCCTTCTCTTCTCGAAAGTTCATAGCCTAAAAATATTTCATTACTACTTTCCAATTTTCTCTCATACTCAATTGAATCAACAATAATCCATATCCATGTCGAAAATACGCGGGAAAAACGACAAGACACGACAAATTATGTTGGGGTTCCATTTTTTGTTTCGAAAAATAGCCGGCCGGTCGAAGATTTCCACTCGAATCACTTTGGCCTATTATATTGAATGAGTTCTGTTCTGTTCTGTTATTGTCGTAATCAAAATAAACTCACAAAGAACATAGAATGAATATTCTCTCAAATCAAAATAGATTGTTTTATTGTCCATGAAGAGTTTCGAGAAAAGACACAAACATTGGGTGTACGTCTGGAAATTTGCAAATTTGATTGAAATTCTTTCAAATATCAATATTACCTTAACCAATATCAATATTACCTTAACCAATATCAATATTACCTTAACCACTGGATCCTCCGTATCGGCATTAACCTCAAAAATCGTTATATTCCCTTCAGCGTAAATTTTTCGTCCAGGTGGTGCCATTAATTTGCATATGTGCTAAATTAGTCTTTATTTTTAATGGTATTGTTTGGGTTATTGTACCAAATGAGCTCTCATTCGTCTCTCGCCATTACAATAATAGAAACATCGATCACAAACAAAAAGTTTCTTTTCGTGTTGCACCTCTTCGGGATACGGGGAATAATACCTAGAATTTTCGGGATGATTTTCATTTTTCTCAACTTCACCAAACCATGTTTCCAATTCCCATTCACCGAAATGAACGAGTTGAATGTTTTTGATTCGAGTTCGCTGAAAAAAACGATTAATTTCGGCTAAATAATTAACAAAATTAGCATTAACAAGATTAGCAAGAACAACAGCTTTTGAGCAAATGTATCAATTTCAATTTCATCAATCAAATTCCATTTCATCAATCAATTTCAATTTCATCAATCAATTTCAATCTCTCAATCAATTTCATCAATCAATTTCTCAATCAAAAACCTGTTCATGTTGATCTCGAATCTTCTCCTCGACTTCACTCAACGTCAATTGATGGTCATCGAGTTGACGCTTTGGACGAGGCCGTTTATCATCAACATCTATGATATATAATAATTCTACATCAATAAACAATTCATCAATGTTAAAATCTGCTTAAAAATGGACTAACTTCCTTTCCATTCCTCTTCTATCTTTTTATCTCTTTACCTTCTTTTTCACTTTTCTCTTCTTTTCGAATCTTCGCATAATGCTTTCGGAATTTCCTTGCTTGACCGGCGTTTGTCCATCTAAAATCTCAAGAATCATTATTAAACTCTTCCCTCACCGATCCCATCTTTTATCGAATCCATTGAAATGCACATAGATCTCTTCTGTTTGTGCATTTTCGTTGCCCCTTTTTGCAAGTACTTGTGCTTCACGATGCACGCCGAATGCGTCCTGAAATACATAGTATAACAATACATATTATAACAATACATATTACTATAAACTAGTATTGAGTTGTATTTCAAACCTTTGCAAGACAATCGCCTCCTTCTGTAAAACTACATGATGGATCAATTTGATGGGGCATTGATGAAAAAGAATTGCATCGAATACTCCTGATTTTGTCGGCAATTAATCAAAAGTTTTTTTCTTTATTTATCCAATCTTGAGCCGAAATGGCTCAAGCCATCTTTTCGTAAGAAAGCGCGTGGAAAATTGGTGCTTTGGTGTGTCTTGTACTCGATAACAGAGTTCTGAATCTTTTATTGGGCAAGGTCAGCAGATGCTTCAATATTAAGGTTGTCTTCATTGAAAGTTGATTTCTCAAATCAATAGCAAAGCTTATGAGTTAGAAACTCAAAAATCGTGAAGAGAAATGGGGGAGTGGGACAAATGCTACCTTTTTTTTGCGCACCTGGACATTTGCGCACCTTTTTTTCCGCACTTAGCCCATTAGCGCACCTTTTTTCGCGTTTTAAAAAAGCTCTAAAAATCTAATATTAAGCAATTTCTATTCCAAAAGTTGTTTTTCTAGGTAATTTTAGGGTGTCGAATTCAAATTTTGACATATCAGAGCGTGTGGAACCAATTTGAAAGACAAAACGGCAAATTACAGAAAATTGTTGATTTTTCTCTTTGCATAACTCCGTCGGTTCGCTTCCACAAGCTCTGATATGCCAAAATTTTGATTCTACGCCCTAAAATTACCCAGAAAAACAACTTTTGGAATAGAAATTGGTTAATATTAGCTTTTAGAGCTTTTTTAAAACGCGAAAAAAGGTGCGCTAATGGGCTAAGTGCGGAAAAAAAGGTGCGCAAATGTCCAGGTGCGCAAAAAAAAGGTCGCATTTGTCCCACTCCCGAGAAATGAAACTGATTTACTCGACAAGTATGATTGGCTTCGAAAGTTGACACGAAACGAAGTTGAGATACCGTAAAAGTTGTAATACTAGCCCCCTATAGGAGCGTCGCATAGTCTAAGTTTACACTCAAAGAATCGCTCATATCTCCGCGCCCAGACATTTGTTTCTGCGCGCTTAGGTATCAAATTAAAGTAGAGAGGATGAGTGATTTTTTGAGATATAACACATATTTTTAGCATTAACCAGTGCTTAGAAAAAAATGATTGAAAATGATGAAAAATCGGCCTTTTTATGCCACTTTTCAATCATTTTTTTCCGAAAAAAAAAACGCTTGCATATGATGAATGAAAAGTTTAAATTTGGATATAAACAAATTTACAGAACTACGGTGGCCTTTTTAAGCGAAAGCGAAAGCGAGAAAGCGCATTAATTACGAGGAATACACTCTATTATTATCTATTTTTTGTTTCATCTCCGAGTTCTTTGAGAAGGCGTTCCCCTTTTCTTCCACACAACAAATGGGACCATTTCGATGAAGATATTGCGTTTGAAAAAAGAGAAATGTCGAGCCCCAAAAAAGTCAATGAATTCTGGGGATCAAGAATAGGAAGTGGAGGATGAAATTGCCTAAAAAGATCCCATAAATTGTTGATTCTTTTAGGAAAACAAAGAAGCAAAGTGATCATTGCAATCTTCCCTCTTGCTCTTTCAAGGCAATCCCTCGAGATCCTCTCCTCCATTACATTCTTCTCTCATTCTCATTCTCATTCTCTTCACTTCTTCCATTCTCATTCATTTCACTCTCGTTCCCATTTTCTTTTCTTTAATCACTTCTCGCAGTTATGTAACCGGACACGACCATTTCAACCACTAAAAGTCATCTTTTTTTTCTAACATTCACTCTACCACTAAATTTTACTACTCCATTGTCTTATTCATATTCTTATCCATATTCTTATTCATATTCTTCTTCTTCTCTTCAACTCCAAATTCACAATGAATGCAATAATACCTGGACTGAAGGTAAACGTTTTAGTGGAACTTTTTAGTGGAACTTTTTAGTGGAACGTTTTAATGAAACGTTTTAATGAAACGTTTTAATGAAACTTTTTAATGAAACTTTTTAATGAAACTTTTTAATGAAACAATTAGTTTAATGTTTATACAATCAAACACTATAAACAAATCTACTGGAAATCTCTTTTATCCATTTTCTCTCCTCTCTTCGTCTCCTCTAATTTTATTTCTCAATGTCTTCCACTGGAGAATCTCTCTTTTTCCCCGAAATAACTTTGTGCCAAAGCACCTAGAGGATCCACCAATTGTCCCTTTTCTTTACCTGAATCTCTTTTCCCATTTGGAATATTTTAAAGATCAAAGCAAATGCCTGTACTTCTATAGTGAATGAAAACAAAGATCCAAGCAAAGTCTCAAAGTCTACAAAGTACCAAGATATTTTTGAGGTTGCTTCTAAAAGGCTCATTCAACCGGGTGTTCCCATTGATCTCCTTTCCTTTCCTTTTTCTTGTCTCAAGTGATACTCGATGGTTGCAACAATCATCCCCTTTCCCTTTTAAAGATGAAAGATTGCCGGAAGAGAAGAAAAAACCGAGATAGAATTGTCCACCAATTGTCCCTTTTCTTTACCTGAATCTCTTTTCCCATTTCCCCTGTTCTCCTTCTCTTCTCACAAATGGCCATAAATTTCTGATCGTCTTCTCTATTCCCAACTTTATCCAACTCTGATTTTTCTCCTTTTTCCTGTTCTAGGTGAGTGATGAGAGTCATTACCTACAACAGAGTTCATCAATTTTTGGCTCGTATTAGAGTTGCTAGAGCCTGGCACTTATGAAAAATTGTTCAAAATCAATAAGCAGATCTAAACAGCGCCATTTTAAACTGAAAATGATCCAGAGTAGCTTTTAAAACTTTATTTCTATAAAAATTCGAACTTTACAAAGCTCAACGACTAAAAACCACCTGAAAGGTGTCCATTTTTGAGGAATCATCTTTAGACAGATTTCCCCTAGGGTGTAAAGAGTTCAATGGGATTTTTTCTATGAAAATAACATTGTTTGAATAGAGTTTTTTAGATTAAAATCATTCAAATATGACTTCAAAACTTTGACAAGAACAAAATGATAGTATTTAGGTCGCTCAAATTAGCTCATAATGATAGTTAGCGTTGTTCAATTCTCTCCAGCGATTCTAGATTATAAAAGAAAGCTTTTTTTCCTGAAAAGAAAGCTGTTTTCTGAACTAATTTCAATAAAATCAGTAAAATCTAAAATCTAAAATGCACTGATCAGTGAAAATGTTCAGTGGAAAGATTCTAGATTATAAAAGAAAGCTGTTTTCCTGAAATCTGAACTAATTTCAGTCATCTCATGGTATGTTGGGTGGAGGATGTGAAGTGAGAGGATCAAATGATTGTCATCAAGCAAGAGAAACACAAATCTGTCGATTGGGATGGTTGTTATTGATGATGTGGCTCTGCATGATCATTTATATGACAAAAGTTTGTTTATAATCTTTAAAAAGAGTTGATTTCACTTTCACAAATATTCAAAAGATGATTGAAGTGGAAACACTTCAGGAAATGTGGTGTGGAAGTATTCCAATGGAGACACCACGAGAAGAGAAACAATCAACACAGCGATCATCGACGAAATACAACAATCACAGAGTTATTGAAGTCTAAAAATACAAGGATCTTGCTTTTCTAGTCTTTAAATAAGCTCGATCTGTATTAGAGTCGATTTTCGATGATTGTCGAGAGCTTGTTGAGCTTGTCGAGAGCTTGTCGAGCTTACGAGCTTGTCGAGCTTATCGAGCTTGTCGAGCTTGTCCTAGATTACTCTTTTTTTAGAAGATGAGTCTACGAAAGAATACTTTAATCCACAGCTATTCAATGTTTAAATTCATTTATTGATCATTCATTCATCATCCATTCATTAATCATTTTTTTTCATTGATTCGGGTCATTTTTCACCTCATCGTGTTGTCTTTTTTTGAAAAGAATCGGGTAATAAATAGAATTTATTGATTGATTAAACCCGTATCTTGAATACATAATATAATTAATGATTTACAAAAAAGAATCCCCGGTTTCCAATTTGACTTCAGTTTCGCCGCCACGTCCCAGCGATGAGAGGACACTCTCGGAGGCGTAGCGCTGGAAAAATCGTATTAATTCAGTATCGGCAATCTGCTATATATAAAGCAGAAGAGACGTCTGTCCGTCCGTCAGTCTGTGCGCTGTCATTGGCGGGGCTTAGATTGTCTTTTTTTGTGGAAAACGTGGACCTCCCCAGTCGAAAACGCGAAAGTTATTGAGCTTTTTCCGCTGATTATTAATAATTCATTTACCGTATTCTCTCTAATAGTAGTGCGCACTACTATTTTTTGAACCCCCTCTCGAACCGCAATACTATTAAAGAGTTTTATCATTTACCAAAGTAAGACAGATCTTTGTTCCAAAAATTCTTGCAATTCTTTCACGTACTCCTTTGGCTCCTTTTGACATACAGTTGTTGACCGGCGAGTTGACAATTTGTGTCTTGACAAACAACAAAAAGATGTTTTTGCACTTTGCACAACAATTTTAGATTTTTTGCTAACTTTTTCATGTGAAGAATAGTTAATAAATGAATAAAAAAAAGCCTCACTTTTGCTTGCTTGAATAGCTTTAGAATGTCACATAAACATAAAGTCAAAAAGGTTTAGATGAAAAAGAAGCACCAGAAATTCAAATTTTCGAGGGTGCACTACTATTTTTTCAACCCCCTCTCGAACCGCAATACTATTAGAGAGTGCACTACTATTAGAGAGAATACGGTAATTTGATTTCATACCGTAATCGTCTTTGTCGATTCTCCATTCATTGTGATGTTACCAGAGGAATTCCTGCAAAAAATCACTTATTTCTTGTGTAGTTGAAAAGCAAAATTGAAAATTTGCTTAATTTTGTGTTTTATTTTAAAACTCACGTTTTACTGTGCCCAAAAACAGCAAATTTGAAGCCGACGAAACTGAAAATTGATTTCGTTTGAATTGATTTTGATTAATGATTATGAATGATGCGAAAAAAAATAAGAAATCAAAAAAATAAGAAATCATAAGTGCCAGAAAGCTTTTTTTTTGCTAGAACGCCATTTTTATTTTACAGAGAAGATTATATCATGCCAGACACAGAACAAAAGCTTCAACTGGAGCTTCACAAAAGCTTCAACTGGAGCTTCACAAAAGCTTCAACTGGAGCTTCACAAAAGCTTCAACTGGAGCTTCACAAAAGCTTCAACTGGAGCTTCACAAAAGCTTCAACTGGAGCTTCACAGAACAAAAGCTTCAACTGCAAGAAATTTCAACGTGTACAAGACGGACAAAGTGACATTTGAGCTGAAAACTCACGAATGTCGAAGTGAATCGATATGTTGACTGATTTGATTGAAACCGATAGATGAAGTACGGGGTGGAGTGCAAATTGAATGATTGATTTGAGGAGAGATCTTCTCTTCCACCAAATCTTGAAGTGAGAAAAGTGATGGACGATGAGTGGCTGAGAGTCTGAAAGTGCTGAGAAAGAGGTGAGTTTGAAAGTGATAAGAAGTGATGAAAGGTTGGGGTGATGGGGGGAAGAGGTTGAGTCAATCACAAGGCTATTGGCGTTAAGTCCAGATCTGATATTTTAGAGCTGATCATGAGATCTAACGATTATAAACGATTGAATATCTTTTAATGGAATCTTTCAACAATTTACAGATTGAATTATTAGAAAAGCTTAAGAGTAAGAGAAACGGCCAGAAAGAAAGTTTTCTAAAAGGCCAAAGGGCCTAAAGAAAGACCAAAGGGCCTAAAGAAAGGCCAAAGGGCCTAAAGAAAGGCCAAAGGGCCTAAAGAAAGGCCAAAGGGCCTAAAGAAAGACCAAAGGGCCTAAAGAAAGGTCAAAGCACACAGGGTACATTGGGTAAAATGTTTTAACAAAGCTCTAAATGAAACTCACTTTTGCGTGTGCTTTGTCACAAAATCGAGAGCATTCTGCGTCGCATTGCCGATTGATTGTCGCTTTCGATTCATAGCCAATGAGTGCTGTGCTCGGAGTTCTCTGAAAGTTCTCTGGATTTCTCTGATTGCTCGGAGTTCTCTGGATTTGATGGCTGAGTGGGATTTATTTAAGTTATTTAAATGGAAACTCACCGATTGATTAATGCATAAAGAACAGGATTTGCAGCCGAATTGAAACAAACAAGTAGATGAGCTCCGAAGAAAATTGCAGTCATAACAGGCGTTCCAAGAGAAGCTGTGACAAGATTGGAGACCAATAAAAGATTGAGAGTCCATTGGGGAGTCCAGCAAAAGAAATAGAAAAGAATCACGGCTATGATGCGTTTTGTGACCTGGAATTTTGAGTTTTTTTTGGATGTTTTTGAATTTTTGAGTTTTTGAGTGTTTTTTTGAGGTGGTTTGATAAAATTTGATAAGATTTGATAAGATTTGATAAGATTTGATAAGATTGATAATCTTGGCGTTAAAAAATGGAACGTTTACGGACTACCTGCTTGACTCGATTCACTGAATGTTCATGCTGTTTGCTCATTCCATTCTCACGCGAGCGAAGGCTTGTTTTTCGAACGAGACTCGTGTTTCGTTGAAGGGACATGATCACCTGAATATTGAGATTGAGATCAAAGTGATTCTTATCTAAAATTCTGATCTTCTTATCGTTTATCTATTAGCTATTCCAGCTATTCCAGCTATTCCAACTATTCCAGCTATTGTAGCTATTCCAGCTATTCCAGCTATTCCAGCTATTGTAGCTATTCTGCCATTGGATCACGGTTCCAGGATAGAATCAAAATTGTCAAAAGTTGAAAGGCTACAAGTCCAAATTCCAAATTCAAACTAGAAAAGCCTAAATTTTCCATGTCATCAATTTCCACCTCTATTCAATGATTGTTCAGTGTCAAATTAAACTCACCGCTCCATAAAATCCAGTAATAAACACGGCAGGAATGGCAAAACCGAAAAGAAATGTGTAAATGATAAAGACGAAATCTGGTTCATATGCACATTTTGCTTGTACTGTTTCTGTAAATCGTTTATTGGATTTTTTTTTTTACGTTTACGAATTTACCCGCATCAATTTCTTCAGGAATCCAATCAAGAACCGTTTTGTGTACAACATCATAATAAACAACATCGGATTTGATAAGGACAGGCAAGAGAAGGACCTGGATTTGAAAAAAAAATGATTGATTGTGCATCAATTTTGTCGGGAGAAGCTGTAAATTCTTTAAAACAAACCACTCCAACAATTGAGCAAAGAATGAGAACGAAAAGAGCCATTGCCGGAGAACGCATTCTAGAAAAAAGAAATTGCCGTAAATACTGTAATAGTACCGAACCCCCATAATGACGGTGCGGAGTGTTGGGTAGTCTAGCTTTGAACGAGTTTTTCTCGACACTGGTTTATGCTACAATGCGAGCTTAGGTATCAAAAAATAGCTGAAATCCAGGGCTATTTTTTGATACCAAAGACGTATTTTTTGAAAGTACGGGCGCTTTGAAAAAAATGAAATTGCTAAAAAACTTTTGTGACTATGTGACTGTACGAGGGCGGTGGGGTACTATTACAGTGTTTACGGTAGTTTTTACACTTATTTGGATAATGGAGAAGTACCTACTTGTATAAAATAGTGAAAGTCAAACAGTGAAACTAACTAGTATTCTGAAATCAGCTAGTAATCAGCTAGAAATCAGATAATCAGCTAGACTTTCTGAACCCACTATACCAAATCAAAATCTAGCAATCAATCCAGTACTAGCTTTTGATCAGTGCATCAAGTACTGAAGCAAATAGATAGATCATGGCCTTTCTAGTTTCTATCTCTCAACCCTCTTCACCTCATCGATTTCACCGGCGAACAAACGGCCATATAACGATCCCACGAGAGAACGGTCATCAAAAACGAAGACAATAATTTGTTGACCGACTCACCAAACCAATATAATTTGCAAAGAACACTCCCAAAGAGCCAACCACCTGAAAAAGAGTTTAAACAAAGAAGATCTAACAATAAACGATCTAACAATAAAGTTAACCTTTCAGCATATCGATGACCAAAAGTGGAAGGTGAAGAATGACAAGAAGATCGACGATGGAAAGGCCTGGAAAAAGAGATGGAATTGGGATGAAATTGGGCAAATTTGCTGTCCAGGAATTGGGCAAATTGGTTGTCCATTTAGTTTTTAAACTTACCAAGAACATAAATGAAAACATGATTTGTTGAAGAGATCGATCTTCTTCTTTGGAAACCACTTTTATGCATTGATGAGAGAACATTGCATGTCATTACAATGACAATACTGTAAAAAGTAATGACAAAACTTTCTTTTCCATTTGCAAACCTGTTTCCAATTGTTCCAATAATAAAACACAAAGAATATAAAGGAAGAAAAATGATCTTCAGAGTTGCACGAGCAGCCAAAAGAGTTTCGAGTTGTGATTGTTCATCGATACTCAAGGAATCATTCATTTCGCTAGAATACAAGGATTATTAGAATTGCAATTAGAATTGCAATTAGAAATAGTAAAATAAGAAAACAATAAAAAGGATTTGGGGCGTTCTTTGTGCACAAAACAAGCCAAAAGCACACTTTGTCTAGTCTCTTTTGTATTCGATTTCGAATGGAGTTAAATTAAAAGTACTCCAGCGTACTCCAGCGCTGACAAAAGTACTCCAGCGTACTCCAGCGCTGACAAAAGTACTCCAGCGCTGACAAAAGTACTCCAGCGCTGACAAAAGTACTCCAGCGCTGACAAAAGTACTCCAGCGCTGTTATTTCTTCATTCAAACATACCCAATTTTCCCCCAAAAAAAGATAAATGATCTAAAAAAGTGAGGGAGAAAATATGATCAATTCGTCATGAAATCAGTCCTGAAAAAAAAGTGAGAAGGATGAAAGTGGCCATCTCATCGGAGAGAGTCTTCTTCTTCTTCTTCTTCTTTCAGTACTTCTTCTTGAAATCTTCTTTTACTTGATCTTTATATTTTCCCTTTCATTTCTTCTCTTTTCCGATCCGGAGAAGATTTGATTTCGACTCACACAATCCGTTGCTCTCCTTTTTTGCTTGAATCAAAAATATCAACAACTCTAAAGGATTTTTGAAGATTTCAGCAAGTTACACTTTGATTTTCGAATATGAGAAATAAGAAATAAGATAAATTTTTAGTCGAATAAATTTCCAATATAAATTTTCAATTCTTTCAATTTTTTTAGTAAACCAATTATGACAAAAAAAGGTCATCTTTTGCTTGAAGATTAGTTGCTAATTTTATTGCAAGAGGTTCAAAGAGCTGTGATGAAAATGTGAAGATGGGGAACAATGGAAATAAAAAAAGAGAAAAGTGAAGATTGTCAATCAAGCTGAAACTAATTGAGAAGAAAATGAGAAAAGGAAAAAAAAAAGAAGAAAGTATAGAAAAGAGAAGAAGATGAGGACCCGAGAAGAAGATGAGGTTCGACGAGAAGACGAGGAGTTTCCCTTCACCTCTTTTCCTCAATGATTCTCAAGGGGTTCCATCCGCGACATAATTCAATCAAAAAAAAATATCGGGTGCATCTTTTGAGATGGGAAAATGTTTAACAAGGGCTTTCATTTTTGAGTTTTGGCGGGCGTTTAGGGATTTTCGGTTTATGCTGACTAAAATATGTGTTAGGTTTCAGATTTTTAAAAAAATCGATCCAGGAGTTAATCCGAGATTATATATATATATATGCTTTATTCAGTTGAATAGCGACAAGACAACATCACAATAATTACCCGGGACACCACTCAAAACACACCCAAAAGATAAATGGATAAATGGAACAATTTTAAAGGGGGGTAGTCAAAACAGCGCCGTCAAATTTCCTCAAAATCCAAAAAACCAAGCCGGTTCAAGTTTTATACCAAAAAATTCCTTGCGTTCTTGGCTACATGATGGGTAAAACAGTTTTTTAAAAAAGTTAATATTTCATAGATAAAAGGAGCACTCAAAATGTGTGTCGAGTGATACTCAGTTGGTTAACTGAATATCTTTAGGGACCCATTTTGAGTGCTCTTTTTATCTATGAAATATTAACTTTTTTAAAAAACTGTTTTACCCATCATGTAGCCAAGAACGCAAGGAATTTTTTGGTATAAAACTTGAACCGGCTTGGTTTTTTGGATTTTGAGGAAATTTGACGGCGCTGTTTTGAACGTTTTCTATTATGGCGCTGTTTTGACTACCCCCCATTTTAAAGCATTCAACTAAATCGAAATGAGAATTATTACACTTAATGAATATTCAATGCTGAGCAGATTGAAACTTTCATATTGCATTGAGTCAAAAGATTGGGACAAATGAATTTCGAATTAAAGCAATGTGCGCAAACATTCGCTGTTCAGTTTGAAACATTAATGTTGCGCTTTATTAATTCGGTTTCTAAAACGTGGACCTTCTTTCTACCGTAAGCTTGTCACCCAAAAGATAAAAAGATACCTCAAGAAAGAATCACAGAGCAGTCAAATCAATTGCCGAAATTGCGGCTTTAAATCTAGCCAAGGTGGAAATATCACGAACATGGATAAAATGGGGTAAAATGTTCCAGAATTTAATAACTCGATTAAAAAAGAAACTGTGGGGGCTTTTAGAGGAAACGGAAGGTTGGCGTATGAGAAAAGGCCCCTTCTGGAGGCGCCGCCGTAGAGAGCCGAATTCAAAGAGACCAGATTTTTGAGTTTTGGTGGGTGTTTAGGCATCGATCGGGATTTTCGGTTTATGCTGACTAAAATATGTGTTTTGTTTTTAAAAATCGATCCAGGAGTTAATCCGAGATTCTCCAAATGTGTTTTGTTAATCAAAAGCGACAAGTATTATGTTTTCATTTGGTTTTGAGATTAAAAATTCGCTCAAGACCGCAAAAAAAAAAATGGCAGGTTTTTGGGGCTTCTTAATGGGGTGAAATGGGAAAAAAATCTAATGTGATGGCGAAAATTCTTCGAAAAAATATAATTCTGAGGCTGCATCAGATGCAAAAGAAAATACTTGAAAATCCATCCATTTTACGATTAGTTTGACTTCAGTCCATTACTGAAACTCAAAATTTGTTGCACTACAAATGAATGACGCGAATATCGAGATGTTTTCTTTTTGAAAGTCCTCCTCCACGAATTCTACCATCCAACTCCCACATCTCTCTTTTACGTCCATCTTCTAAACTTCTTTCCGCGCAACTCCGAGGCAATCCAATTGGGTCATATTTTGTCTCAGAAAAGAAGAAAAAGAGAGAGAAACCGAGCCTAGCATAGAATCCGAAGAAACATTCAAAGAAAACGTCGAATCACTAGTTGTTATGTTTATCCAGAAAAAAAATAACGTGGGTGGAGAAAATTTTTTTTTAACCGATCGTCAATTGAACCAAAAACTACAAACTCTTTTTATATATCACCCCTGAAATGTTTATTTTCACAAGTAAATTTATACGTATAAATCATCGTTAGTTTTTTGTAGGCACAAGAAATCGTTGGCCTCAAACAATCGGATGAACGTAGACTCAAACAATCGGATGAACGGGCTTATTTCTAAAAAGTTGAAGGTTACATTAAAAAAGTGTGATTACTTACGAAAATTGCTGACCAAAAGTAAACGGAGGAATGATTCCGGAGATCAATTGATAAATGGCTGGTGGTCCGTCAGCTTCTCGAGCAACAGTCACCACACATCCAGGAGGGTAACTAAAACAGCAGTGTTTTAATATGAAATTTTAGTCGCATTACCGGATTCCAAGCTCGGTCGTGTTCAGTGCTTCATCTTCGGAGATCGAATCCCATTGCTCATCCGTAGAGGTGACATCAAGCTCGTTGTAATTTGGATCGTCTGGATCTTCGGGTGGCTGACACCTACCTAAATTCTCAAAATGTTGCAATTAACAATAGAGAAAATACCCATCAAAAACGCAGTATGAAGTGTAACGGCATGACCCACAATCAACAAAGGACCTTCCAAATATGACAGACCAAGATTTCTAAAAGCAAAATAATAAAGTAAATCTTTTGCAAAACAACCTAAGCACAAGATCGATTCGTTGACGAGCCTCCAACTCCGTCTCATTACGTGCAAAATATGTGTCACGCACAATTGGCATGCTGAATCGGTCATCAATAATTGAAAAAATCATGCAACCTACTAATCCTGATCAATCGGGTATCCGAGGTCGACAAAAGTCGACAATTTCGAAGGAGGTAGAATTTGCATCCCATTCCCTCGGTACCATCCGAAAGGCTCAAAAAGTCCAGGCTCGATCTGAAAAACTTCCATTAAATCTTGTCTTAAACTATATAAATTCTTAGCTCTCTATTGAGTTTATAATAAAAACAAACTCACGCAAACTTTTGCACCTATGCCCTTAGCGTAGTTAGCCATTGCACAAGCAGTTTGAACGCAACGTAAAGCCGGGCTACAAATAATCTAAAAACGAAATAATAAAACATATAAATAGTGTCCACCTTTTTTGGCCTCAAACCACGTAGCATGATAGCGCGCATCACCAATTGGGCTTGATGACGACCTAAAACAAGAGAATCATTTGAGAGTCTTTGATTTTCCACAAATTTTTTAACCAACCAAGCTTTGTGATAGGAGGGTTGTTGCTAAACGGAAATTTCTGTATCACTAACGGCAATAGCTTTCGGTCGGATATAGACTAAAAACAAAATAAAATGATTAAACAAAATCAAAACTTACCCATCCATTAACGATTTCGGTCGACATCCACTTTTCTCCATGTACACGATCCATTCTCTCAACCGATCGCATGACAATCAATAGGCGTTCTAAATTTAGTGAGATTAGGTTCAGAGTTTAAAAAATATTTACTACGCGCAATCGAACGTCCAGCTGACACCCATAAACCGCGGAGATGTGGCAGTGATGTAATTTGTGGTCCAAGAGGGATGTTCGTGTCCATCAACTAAATAAAGTCATAATAAAAAGCTCAAAGTAGTCCACGTACCGCCTTAGCCGTGATAACCTTTCCCGATACGTCTTGTCCAGCTTAAATATTTTATTTACTAAGTAAAATTAGAGGCTACTTTTTGATTCGAATGGAACTTCTGTAGTGCATTTAGCGAGCGAAAGGACGTGAAATGAACGATTCTTCTCCAGTGATGAAGCACGAGGATCTCTCAAACTCTAAAAGGAAATAATGAAATGCTACAACAAATCTCCAATACCTTGCTTTTAGCCGCTACCTCCTTGTGTTTTGAGTTATGGCTCAATGATACTGATTTGCTATTACGATCACGAGTTTCCTAAAAACTTTCATTACAACATGCTTTAAAAAACAATCTTCGACTTAGGGACGACAAGAGGTTTCGATCGGTGGCTGCTTTTAGATCGAACATCTTTATTTGAAACGTTGCCCGGCTCCTTTGGTTTAGACCAAAGCAACACATTGTAATTTAAAACTATAAACTAAAATACCTTTAGCGATTTACTTCGCTGTGAGTTGTCTTTATTGCGCTGGCTAGCATCGAAACGATGATTTGGTTTGTGGATCGTCTGTGCAGGTTTATCCAAAGACGACGCCCTCTTTGGTTCTTTTGGCTTTCGTGAACTAAAACAAATGAAAGATTGTTGACAACTTTAAAAAATTGAAGTGGAACGATTAAATCAACTTGAAATTCATGACAAAACTTTAATGAAGAAATAAAAAAGTTACCTGGATCTTGATGGACCAGCCATTGAACTAAGCGAATAAGAAAAATAAATGACCTAAAGCGATTCAAGCCATTCAGTGAGTCAGTGAATGGCCTTTCTTGTTTTAAATGAGATTTAAATGCAAATTTAGTTTTGAATGCTAACTGGACTTTCTTGCAAGACTTTATACAGTCATGGACAAAAGTCTTTACCCCTCCCGAGGTCAGCTTTTAAAACGCAAAATTTTTCAACTTTTTAACGTTTTAAAAATTGTTTTCAAAGTATTTTGTAGCATTTTTACTCTAGTTTTTATATCCCATAACCAAAAGAAACAACGATTTATTTTAGGCAACAAAGAACGACGTTAACAAAAAAAACCCTCAAAACAGGTGGATAAAAGTCTTTACGCGCGCGGGGGTAGGCTAGTTTCCGCAACTTTTTTTTGCGCAACAGGGTCATTTGCGCAACTCGGCATAACTTTCTTCTAAGTGGGCTAATCTTTATGATTTTGGTCTCATTTTGTAGATCTCAATAAGTGCAACAAAATGAAATGAAAATCATAAAGATTAGCCCACTTAGAAGAAAGTTATGGTGAGTTGCGCAAACGACCCTGTTGCGCAAATGACCCTGTTGCGCAAAAAAAGTTGCGGAAACTAGCCTACCCCATAAACGGTGCTCATGTTACTACCTTCCGGTTAAATCCAAATTTTACTTAGGGAAGAGAAAAGTTTCAGCTGATTAAATGAATATTTTCCAAAACAAGGCGATTCGCAAGGTACTTAGAGGCTCGCGGAAAAGAAATTACACGCGTACATCCTAAAGTTCGCCAAATTTTATTTCCTTTGCCTCTTTTGCTTGGGTTTGAAGTGTACATGTGAGGATATTTATTGGGTAGTTGGATTTTGAAAAAAAAAATTCATTATGTTCATTCTTTAAATCAGTGCGTACCAGACCCAATAGAACACGTTGAAGATCGTGAAAGCAGATGGGAATAAAAACCCTGTAAATTTTTGTGGAACTTCATTGTTTTTGGAAACCCACTTGACCAAATATCAATCATTTTCGCCGAATCAGCTTCATATTGCATCTCATACCAAATCTTTTGCAAACCCCAAATGGGTTTTCGCTAAAACAATGCTTTGACTAATCAAATTCGTGAATTTTTTTCATACTTTGCTTTTCTCAACTATTAAGGCTTCAGATTCTGGTGTGAGAGCATTCTAAATTTGAGTTACAATTTGAAGAGACTGTCTTGAAATACTTGAGTAATATCTGGTGGATATGTTGATGAATGTTTTTCACAGCCTTTTTGTTTACTCACTAAAATAATATTACTAGATCGTTCAGATTGTGATACCTTTCTTAATTTGAAGAATCGAGCCCAAATACGAGACATAAGCATACTCCAATACAGCTCCAAAAATGAATGAAAGACAGACGGCCGTCCAGATATCGATAGCTATGAATTGTGGGATTGAAAGGATTGTGAAGCTATTTGACTAACCCTTGATGTATGAAACAGGCGGAAGTTTCTGATTGATTGCACCAGCCTAGATACGTTTTTTTGTAACAATGATCTCTTATTGAAAATCATGTTACTTGTGTTGTCATCGAGAGAAGAGTTGTCACTCCAAGAGTTACTCTAGCTGGCACAGCACCTCTGATTCCAAAGTTTAGACGATCTTATCGGTATTTTAAAGTAGCAAATGTTGTCTTTGACTACTCAACTAACTCCGATTTTCGAAAACTACCGTAACCTTGCTCTATGAGATCTTTAGATTATCACCACTTTAAATCAACCTTTCTCTATGAGATCTTTAGACTCTAAAGTGACTCACCTATCCAACCAAAAGGAAACCCACGAAACGATGACCAAAAGTGTTGATGGAATGTATACTTGAAGGAGATAATAACTGAAAAGATTTCAGGACTAAGTTTCGAACTTACCAAATCTTTTATTCATTCACCTGAATTGCCTTTCTAATTTGAAAATTGTTCTCAAACAGCTATATTCTCCCGTATTCGTTTTTGATGAACAAGACGCTGTCTCAACGTTTTCCAAAGAAAATGACGGAAGTGAGCTCTGAGTTTTTAAAGTTTTTCATTCAAAACCTTCGGCAAACTTTCAAAGCAACGTGAAATTGAATGGGATTTTCCGTTTTCCAGTGATAGACTAAAAGAATGGCTTTTCTTTCATTGAACACATTTACCCAAATCATCGGTTGTGTAGGCGTATGAAGCGAAATCCATGAGACAAGTTTGTATATCCATTGGATATTTCTAGAATATTTGATTGGAATACTATGAATTGAAGAACCTCAAGGTACATTGGACAGGAAAGGACAAGAGAGATCCGTTCACTGAATAACACTCGACCATCTAAACAAAATGTACCGTAATACCTGAATTTTATGAATTGCAGAAAATCATAACTACTGTAAATACTGTAATTGGACCCCACCACCCTCGTACAGTTGCGTAGTCGCAAAAGTTTTTTAGTATTTCATTTTTCGCAAAGCACCCATACTTTCAAAAAATGCGTCTTTGGTATCAAAAAATAGCCCTGAATTTCAGCTATTTTTTTTGATACATAAGCGCGCATTGTAGCATAAACCAGTGTCGAGAAAAATGCGTTTAAAGTTAGACTACGCGACGCTCCGACCGTCATTATAGGGAAGCGTAGTCGCAAAAGTTTTTTAGTATTTCATTTTGTTCAAAGCGCCCGTACTTTCAAAAAATGCGTCTTTGGTATCAAAAAATAGCTGAAATTCAGGGCTATTTTTTGATACCTAAGCGCACATTGTAGCATAAACCAGTGTCGAGAAAAACTCGTTCAAAGCTAGACTACGCAACACTCCGCACCGTCATTATGGGGTTGGGGTACTATTACAGTTTTTACGATAGGTAATTGCTAAGCATTCCTTAATCCTTTACAATTAAATGCAGTTGGATTTAGATGAATCGCTAAAAACATTGAAAGAAAGTTAAAAACTTGATTCTACAGCTCAGCTTGAACTCTTCTCACCCCTATGCACTCGAATAAGCATATTCGGAGCATCGATTACATGTCGATGAGCTTGTTTTTCATTCTAAAGACATGAGCTCACTTAAATTGAAAGGAACAAACAACAAAGAATGTGTCAGGCATCCAGATCATTTCTGTATTTGATAATCTTGAAAGGACAATATAATCGGGAAGTTCTTCTCGCTCTGATGATTTCATATATTCATATGAGAGACGAGGATCAATCCAACTCTCACGGAAAGTGATTTGAAGACTGAATGGGGAGAAAATTGTGAATCCAAATTGATCCAAAATTGATCAATCACATCACATTACCTGTATTGCATATTCACAAAATCAATATTCGAAATGCTTCTCAAGTAAACATTGACTGTCACTTCAACTGGCTTTCTCTCTTCTGAAATTTTGAATCAAATTTTGAATTACTGAAATTTTGAATCAAATTTCAGTAATTTTAGTTTAAAGAAATTAGAAATTGCTTGATTCGAGGCTAATTTCATTTTCAAATCTTCCTTTTTGAATCTTCCTTAGCCTTCTCCTCCGTTTCCCTATTCAAATCATCCATATGGACCGTTGTTTTTTGGGGAATGTCTCTTTTTTTTTTGTCATTTTTCCCTTTCGATAAATGTGTGGATGATTCAGAAAAGGATGGCCTTTCTTTTTTTCCTTTATTCCTTTCCCACATGAATCCCCAAAAAAAAGACACAAAAAATGTCCAAATAGTGGTGATGGGGAAAGGGGAAATGGAATTTTTAAAAGAAAAGAAGAAAGAGAGAAAAGACTTTGAACATCCCTTTTGTAATTCAAATTTGGCGCCCGATCCCCGCCGATCGACCTCCGGAAAAAAGAGTTCTTTTTCAAATCTTTTTCTTTACTCTTTTCTTTACTTTTTCTTTACTTTTTCCATTCCCATCATGGCCCACACGTTTTTGTGAAGAAGAAAAAGAAAGGAGAAAGGCCACTGTGTCACAAAGAAAGAATGAATGGGGAAAGATTGGAGAAAAAGAAATGCTAAAAAGAAATGCGAAGAATTTGGAGAAACCATGATCTTAGTCTTTCTTTCTTGTAAATAAATCGATTATCAAATTCGAAAATTGATAAAAACAAACCGTTTAAATCAACGACATACGGTCGAACACGGTAATCGTAGGTTGTGTTGATCAAATTTTGCATGATAAAATCAGCGATTCGAACAGGTGAAATGCTTGAATAAGCCTTTTTGGTCAATCATAGTTCTCAATACGATTAAACTATCCATTAAATACATTTCTAAATCGATTCCACATCGATTTTTGACCGATAATCAAGTATTTGGAACCGTATTTGTGAAAAATGGAACCGTATTGGAACCGTATTGGAACCGTATTGGAACCGTATTGGAACCGTATTGGAGCCGTATTGGAACGGTAATGGAACCGTATTGGAACCGTATTGGAACGGTAATGGAACCGTATTGGAACCGTATTGGAACGGTAATGGAACCGTATTGGAACCGTATTGGAACGGTAATCGAACCGTATTGGAACCGTGTTGGAACCGTATTGGAGCCGTATTGGAACCGTATTCCTTTTTGGTCAATCATAGTTGTCAATAGGATTAAACTATCCATTAAAAATATTTCTAAATCGATTCCACATCGATTTTTGACCGATAATCAAGTCTACTGAAATGATTTCACTATTTTAATCGTGAAATCATTGAAATCATTGGCCAGCATCGCATTTTTCTTTGTCAAAAATACCTTTCATCTTTATTTGAAAGCACCAAACCGATCAAAATACTAAATTTCTTTAGTGTTGATGCAAGAAAGAAGAAAGAAAGAACGTACCTGATCAACGAAAGGTTGAGCATTCTTTGATCACAAATATCTAGAGATATCAAAGTTAGATTTTCTTAGTATGAGAATATGTGAAAAGCTCACCACAAAAGAGATCTTATATGGAAAGAAAGATATAATTTGATTGCAAACGCAATTCATTCGCATTCATCTTTTTTGAGAGACATATAAACGATAAAAGTTTGAGCTCAACTAGCGTCCAAAGTCGAAAATTTTCTAATAACTCTTTAATCTAATAAACTAATGTAAACTAATGTACGTAAATGTACGTAAATGTACTTTCAAATGATTGCAAACGCAATTCATTCGCATTCATCTTTTTGAGAGACATTTTTAGTAATTTTCTTGACAAAAACTCCAAAAGATTTACTAAAATACAATCGACATTCTTTATAACAAAATGGAAAGGATCAAAACAAATTTTTTGTTATATAGAGTGCTGTTACATCTCAGCGTCGATTGAGATCTAAAATTCCATTCCATTATATAGAGTTTTTCTTTATAACAAAATATTAGGTTGATGCATAAGTCTTTTCGTTTTTTTCGTACTTCTGTTAAAAAGTAACAAATTCACCAATTAATCTATAGTTTGCTCTATAAAAAAAGTGTTTTTTGTTCAATTTGCATCTTTTTAAATGAATTTCGGTTCACTTTGAAGCAAATTCGAGAGTGAAAAACGCCTTTTTCGTAAAAATCTATAAAAAACTCTACGGAAAAATTGGCTGAATGAATTTCTCTGAAATTTTGGCGAAATATCAAACGTTTTTTTCTCTATCTTTTATCTATTGACACGAAGATAGGTTTTCTTTAGCTAAGGTGTCTAAACCGCATCATCGAGTTAGCCCTTTTTGACTACCCGACTTCATACTCTCAAGAAAATCCAGGCATTAAATATTTTTAAACCCGTTTTAATGTTATTTTGCAGAAAAATAATTGCTTTTTCTAATGAAATCAACCGTATTTTAATTGGTGCATTTGTTGGCTTGAAACGGCAGACGAAAAGGAACAAAAACACTTATGCATCAACCTATCAACCATTACAATCGACATTCTTTATAACAAAATGGAAAGGATCAAAACAAATTTTTTGTTATATAGAGTGCTGTTACATCTCAGCGTCGACTGAGATCTAAAATTCCATTCCATTATATAGAGTTTTTCTTTATAACAAAATATAAACGATAAATATAAATACAATTGACTATCTCTATAACGAAAAACTCTATATAATGGAATGGAATTTTCGATCTCAGTCAACGCTGAGATGTAACAGCACTCTAACAAAACTTGTTATAACAAAAAATTTGTTTTGATCCTTTCCAATTTGTTATAAAGAATTTCGATTGTATTTTAGTAAGTCTTTTGGAGTTTTTGTCAAGAAAATTACTAAAAGTTGATAAAAAAATTGATTTTTTTAATAGAAAAGGATGAAACTCGTAGAAAGATTTTGTTAGATTTTGTTAGTTTTTGTTAGTTTTTGGCTCAAATCAATCCGAAAAATGAGCAAATTTTGAGAGAAAACTGATCAGTTTAACTTTTTGAAAAACTTTAAAGGTGATCGATGCTCAGACGGATATCATTTATCATTAAATTGACATCTTTTTCAAGTTTCATTTTTAATTTTTAATTTTCGAGATAAGGTCGAGTGTTATTGTTGGTTTATTGTAGAATATAGATACAATTGAACACTAGGAAAGATCATTTCTGTACATCTCATCAAATCTACAAGATTTTTCGAATTCTAAGCACATATAAAAGCACTTATGAAATCACATACCGTAAATACTGTAATAGTACCCCACCCCCATAATGACGGTGCGGAGCGTTGCGTAGTCTAGCTTTGAACGAGTTTTTCTCGACACTGGTTTATGCTAAAATGCGGGCTTAGGTATCAAAAGAATAGCCCTGAATTTCAGGGCTATTTTTTGATACCAAAGACGCATTTTTTGAAAGTACGGGCGCTTTAAAAAAAATGAAATACTAAAAACATTTGCGACTACGCTTCCCTCTAATGGCGGTCGGAGCGTCGCGTAATCTAACTTTAAACGCATTTTTCTCGACACTGTTTTATGCTACAGTGTGTGCTTAAGTATCAAAAAATAGCTGAAATTCAGGGCTATTTTTTGATACCAAAGACGCATTTTTTGAAAGTACGGGCGCTTTGCGAAAAATGAAATACTAAAAAACTTTTGCGACTACGCGACTGTACGAGAGGGGTGGGGTCCAGTTGTAATTAACTGTAGTATTTACGGTATGTAAACTTTATAAAATTGTTGGGGTTATCTTTTTTACTCGAGGCAAAGGCATCAAAAATGACGATTCGAAATGCCCAATGATCGGTTTCGGCTCGCCTTTTTGATGAGATCGCCAGAGAATTTCGATTGGGGAAAGGGAAAGTAAAGCAAAGAATCTATTGTTAACATCAAAATGAAGGCATTCATTAACAGTTTCAACTCAAAGCTCGGTTACAGTAGGTTACTAAAACTACAATCATCACTAGATATCACTAGATAGCAGTTTACCATTCAACAAATACAAGAAACAAGGGATTTAAACAAATAAACCTCATAGTCATAGGCAAACGAATTCGATGAATGACGAGAATTGAAGAAGGTTTTGTCCAGAATCCTTTTTGAAGGGACAGCTGGATTGAGGCTATAAATTCAAGGCTCTCCCTCGAAGACGATTGGTTGAAAAAAGGAATCGAGAAAAGCTCAACGAAATGGTAAAATTGGGGCATAAGGTTTCGGGGGAATTGAAGGGTTTTTCTGTCCATCCAGGTGGTTCATTCACTTATAGTCTTATGAAAAACTAGATTGTGTAGAAATTGAAGCAGGAAAGATATAAAGAATGTCATCGACTCGAAGCTATTCCCAAGTAATGTACTACCCAGCACCGTACTCCTTCTTCACTCACTGAAAAGATTAAAGAAATTGCCTTTTGAGTTTTATATTCAATTCTATTTCAGGCTATTTTCAAATCCCCTCAATCCCAAATCCCCTAAACTGAAATTCTTGAAATGAAACTTTAAATAAATCAAATAATTAAGCCCTCTCAAATCCTTAACAAGATCAAAATTTACAAAAACAAACAAACATCAAATGATCACAATGTTTTTGAATGAAGAAAACTTCAATCCAACAGTTGAGACAGTTGTAGGCATCAAAAAAAGTTGTAGAAGAAAACTACAGGATGCCTGACACATTCTTTGTTGTTTGTTCCTTTCAATTTAAGTGAGCTCATGTCTTTAGAATGAAAAACAAGCTCATCGACATGTGATCGATGCTTCGAATATGCTTATTCGACAATCCCAGTTGTAGAGCTTTAAGAATATTTGATCGAGAATATTTGATCGAGTCTAAATTTTCTAATCAAATGATCGAAAACGAAAATTTACTTTAAATTTTAGAGAAATTCTTCAATTATATTGTTTTATAGATTATTTATTTATATTCTTCAATTATATTCTTCAATTATATTGTTTAAATTTTTTGTTTATGAATAGAAAATAATCTAGCGAAGATTTCAAAGAAGAACATTTCGAAATTTGTCTTTCGAAATTTTGGCATTCAATTTCATCATGCACCCATCTCAGTTTTAGCTTTAAGAATGTTTTATGAACAAGTGTGTTATTGTTATTGCTATTATTGTTATTGAAACTAGAACCATGAGGATAGGGGAGAGGTTACAATGGATTGGGCAGAGGTTGACTGTTGGTGTGGTTGATTCACGATGAAAATTCAAATGGGTTTCTTTCAGTGGTGAAAGGTCCAAATGGGATTCATCTCTCACATCCCGCAGATGGCACCCATACGGTCTTACGGTAGAAAAGGGTGAAAGGATGTCTGTCTTTTGATGCAGAGTCACCACAAAAACAAACGAATAAGTGGTGGGGTCTGAATGGAAGAAAGAGGAAGAGCCACAAGGTCGACTTCACCTTCAGAAAAGAGGGGATCGTCGGGGAGATTTCAGTCATTCAATGTCATGGGTCCATCGTTGCCTGGCAATTCCATCTTTCCATTTCATTGGAAAGATTGGAATGAAATTTCATCCACAAAAATTTCAACAAGCTGGATAAAGATGGATAAAGAAGTCTGATGGATAAAGAGACAGACTATAGCTTGATTTAATGCTTGATTTAATAGCTTGATTCATAGCTTGATTTAATGCAGATAATTTCAATAGTTTCAATAGTTTCCAAAAGACATTTTTCAAATCAGAATACGAGAGATCGTTCTGATCAATCACAAACTTCATTTCAAATCTTTACTTCTATTAGTCCAATTAGTTGATCAGTTATTGTGATCGACCAGAAGCTACATATTGATCTTAGCCAGAGACCAGAAGCTACACATTATAGCTCCTTTGTAGTTCCTATTTAGTTCCTTTAAAGCTCCTGAAAGCTCCTTTGAAGCTCAAAGATGGATAAAGAGAATTCATATCAATCAAGCTATAGTCTGTCTCAACTTTGAATCAAGTAGAATTGATTTATTTTAATGAGCTCAAATATTTGAACGATATTTCTAGATATTTGATCGATATTTTCTAGACTCGAAAAAGTGTTTACCAAAGTAATCGAAATAAATGTGAATTGGAAAGGGGGATGTGCATGGGGGAGAACAACGAATTGCCGATTGAACGGCCTAGATAAGAGTTGGGGAAATTTCGAAGGGAGAGCCTTGTTCGTCTCGTATCCCATTTCAGAATGACCTCCAAGACCTTATTGACAAAAAAAGATTCGAAGCTTTAAGAAAGTACAGAGAAGTGATCCTTCTAGGTATGGGAAAATTGATAGAAATCCTTTAAACCCTTGATAGAATCCATGATAGAATCCATGATAGAATCCTTGATAGAAATCCTTAAAACTAGCAAATCTACAAGTTAGAAGAATGCAGAATACCTAAATGATTGTTTAGATAGATGGCGAATGAAAGATGGAGACTCACCACGAAAGAAAACTCTTTTTTTCATTGATGGGGGCGGAGTTTGCATGAAATCAGGATTCAAATCGGTT